ACTTTAACTGCTGGCAATCATCCGAAGAACTCTAGCATCCTCGTGGTCGCTCAGATAGAAACTAACAACTGACTCAGGAGGAAACTTTCCACTACAAACTGCTAAATGGGCATATCATATACAACTTACTACTCTCTACGGAGTACACAGTTCGTCGTTTGGAACCCTGTTCTGGTCTCCAACTCTTCATGACAGACGGCGGTTTTCTATATATTGGCGCCGATGAGTGTGTCGCACCGCCCAACTCCTACCCACAGGAGGCCGCTTAGGGTTACCATCCGGAAACGACACTCCATAGCACTATTATAGCCGTGATCAGGGATCTGCCTTATATTCTCCTTGCCTGCTGAGTTTTTTCCATCTCGCCGCAGTGTTGGGTTGGGGCTTCTAGAAGGCCGCTAGTCTCGTCTCCTGGAGCACATCGCCGTTTTATTTCATCGACACTCGCTCTTACTGAGACGAGGCAAGATCTGATGGAATGGTTCGTCCGCTAACCGGCTGTGGCGGCCTTCTTCCTATCCATGGAACCGCCTTAAAGACGCCATGTGCCCTTCATTTTGGCGAGATCTGGGTGTGCGATTGTCCTACACATGGAACGTCGCTGGTGGTTGTTTGGCCGGTACATACGGGTGAAACCCTTATCTACTCCCGCACGCAGCGAGGCGATCTACATTCAAACCGTCGCCGTCTCCCTATAATACGGGAATACAGAGTACACTGAGTAGACGATAGAGATAGTCGAGATGGAAACATGGCAGCGCCTCCATGCAGTCGGTCTTGCTTTTCGACCAAAGCCGCCATATCCGGCACGACAGATCTCGACGAAAAATATGATGCGCCCGGCCGACGCCACCTGCAGAAAATTTCAAAAAGCCTGTGTAACGGCAGTAGCTGAAGTCGAAGGCACAAGCGAGCGGGAATGGATCCATGGTTTGCAAGTGCCACGTTGCTGGAAAGAAACAGCCGGCCAGAAGAAACCAATAGATCTCTGCACTTTTTATCGGGATGCTTATCAAGTACTGGAGTACATCTACAGCTCATAAAACTTATATTTCCAAGCGCTTTGTCCTTGATTCTAGATTGGAAGAACTGTTGGGTTGGTTCGAGGGACAAAGCGAAGGTCCCTGCCATGAATCCAGAGATCTGGGAATGTACTTGCTATGGGGGATTCCGCGATTGCATCGCCGACCGATAACGAATACGTTATTTACGGGATAATTTAACCTGCAGCGGCATGGCGCCGATAAAAAGACCCGAGTCTGCTAGTCTGCTAACAGCTAACTCTGCTAAACATATAAGATGCGTACGTGCATGAGGCAAGGCACATCATCGGGACTCGCTACGCTGCGCCATCAGCGGATGTACTGCTATATAAGGAAGTACGCATCGGCGCCTATACATATATGCGCCCCAGCTAAGGTCATGGATAAGGACTCTAGATGTGACGCTGGCAAGGAGCCAGCATCAGCCAAAGTTACCATTTCCGCGGTCAGATGGGATGGGGATGGGATGGGGATGGGATGTTCGCCAACGATGAATTATTACCCTACCAGAAGGGAGGCCCCGAGGTCTCACGTCTCACATAAAATTGCCTTTTCACGCAGGGATGAGGTAGGCGAGGGTGAAGGCCGTTACGTATACATACAACATATAACTTCCCAAGTCGAAGCCAACGATATTAGGCCATACCATGCCATGTCGCCCTTCTCGGTCTCTGGGCGACGTTGTTTCGGCCTCCTACTTCGCTTACTCGCCAGGCGCTAAGATTTGATCGATTTTCGTTCCGGCTGCCCGTTAACAAGAGACGGGTAATTTAATCGGAACATGCTACAAGTCAACGGGCCCGCCGTTCGTATATTGCTTGCTCCATAGTAGCACTGACAATATAACGACGATCTAGGACGACCGCGTCACATACTATATAAGTTATCATAACGAAGGCCTGATTCTCTGTATTGGTCGTAAGTGCGCCGTCTATCCACATCGTATACTCTGTTGGGGAAATGCTACTTCGTATATATACAACATGCAACGGAGCGCTCTTCTAGAACGCCCTTAACTCATCTCGAGCGGAGCAATGGCAATCCGCAAAGCCCCTCCCCTTCTCGCCTTTCCGTCCTTCGCCCCTGTTCATGCAGCGGGCTATCGGACGAGTTGTTTACCCAACTGGAGGCCATGTACACGCGTATATCGTGCGCTGCGGCGTTTCTCCTTGGCGGTTTCTCTCCACCTGCGTCATCATGGCCGGCATATTAGTCTAGCATCACCTAACATGACTAGGGTTGGAGGTTGGAGGCCAATAAAACACGCGACATCATCAATCCTGTTGATGTGCAGAGCCATTGGTCCCTGCCGCAGCCCAAACCCTACCTAATATATACCATCCCGTCCTGTCTGTCATGCACTCAGGCAGGTCTAGCAGGCCATGCGAGGAATGAGTTGATGACTTGCCTCTGACGGATACTTACGCCGCTGTTGTTTTTTCGCTCCTGCGAATCATTTGCCCGAATACCAATATACATCCCGCACCTACAGAATTGGCCCTGCCAAGGTGCACAGTGCTGGAAGCAGTCTCTACAAGCTGACTGGCTGTCACATCTCCGACCCCTGGAGGTGATAATGTTGGTGACGGTCCAGCCACAACAACTAAGCGGTGTATCGCTGGATGTCCATCCTTGATTCGTTGGAGCTTGTTATTGCTTGTCAATCCTCCAGCTACCTACATACTTCTGTACAGCATCCGGATGTTCTATTCCTATTTATAGGAAGGGACGGAGTAAGGCTCGGTTAAATCACGCAATTGCACTCCCATCCAATCCAGTTCGACAATCCAGTTCGAAGGAACCAGCTCTGCATTGAAGGCTGACGGGATGCGTCCAAGCTGGAGGAGCGAGCGTGAGCTAGAGGATCCGAGAGGAGGGTTCACCCGATTGTGATTGTTAAACCAGGTCAATATTTCCCGAATATGAGGTTGGCTAGCAAGGTGTATACTACGTTGCAATGGTAGGTTTACACGGACTCGGCTGTAAGGACAGAATCGAGATAACCCCGATGGGAGAGGCCCTTGCAGAATTCTGAACCCAACTGGGACAACATGTTAGGAATAACCGACTCGGTCGTCTCTTCGATACAAGAAGAGACTGAAAAAGAAAAGTGGAAGCGGACAAAGCTCCAGAATCTTGCATGAGCTTATATTACATCTTCTATTCTCATTTTGCAGGGTTATATCTGAACCTGAGCCGCCTGCCTATCTGAGGCTGAAAGATGGCATACTCAACGGGCAAATCTCCGACGTGAAACAAGGCATGTTGCTTGTGTAATGAGAGTGTCCAGATAGATATTGTAGATCATAGACTGCCGTCGTGGTAAGTTGGATCTAGAACTGAGAAGCTGAATATAATCTTAGTTGTATCCATGAACATAATAGTTATTCCTTCAATTAGTTACTGAGGACCTGCAAAGCTCATTTCTAGTAAGATTTGATATAGAGAATCCTGGTGAGTAGAGTTCCTCAGCGTTCTGGCTTCTTTGGTCAGGTGGTGTTGGATTAAGGCTCGACTCCTAGATGGCTTGTCGATTCATCGCGGTTTGATCGTCAGCGAGGACTAGGGTAATTTCCCATCTTAGAAGGGGTTTGCGCGGGAAGGAGATAGACATATAGACGTGCCATTAGAGTCCAGGTTTAGAAATTATTTTGCTTGGGCATGGGAATTGACCATGAAGACATGAGGTCAACCTTGGTCTTTGGTAAATCTTACTGGGGGCCAACAAGGTGAATGGGTATACATGGGATAAAGATACAGAGTATTCTTATTTCACAAGGCTGACTGACAGGAGCTCTCATAGAGTTGAGTAGTGGTGATATACCCAAGGGTTCATATATCAATCTATATAAGTTGCCCTATGGATCCGCACAATCTAACTCCAAACTCTTGTGCAAAAGGATAATACGAAACAAAGAATAGCGAGGGTACGACGGAATGGATTAAACAAAGGCTTGATTCTCGAAGACTAGGACGCGACAGTAAATGCATTTCATCCTATCCTTCAATGTATACCAATTCCTACCAAAGGAGATAAATCTCTATCTTTTAACAAAGATATGATTCTCACAAGTATTCCATAGGCACTCGAGTCACGCCGACGGGTATAACTATTTGTTGAGATTCGTTTATTCACTGGTCCCGGCTTGCTTCCTGGAGGCTCAACGGCAGTTATTCCTGGGGTAAGCTGCCGTGGTATATAACGATCGATATGTAACCCTGGGCAGAGAGCTTTGTTAGTCAATGCTTCAGAAATATGTGCGTCAAGGGGTAATAGTGGAATCGATTGGATAAAAGGAATCAGAAGTCCATTTAGATCATTGAAGCTGAACCAGAAGAGGCCCAACCTCTGACATAAGAGGTACCAGAAAAAAGTAAAATAAAGGTATCATCATGTGGGAAACATTTGCTGTGTGGGAAAGGGAATTGTTCTCGGGGAGACCAACCTGTTTACGAGTGTTAGTTACGACGCCGTTGTTAAACGTAGGACGATCATAAATGCATAGCTGTACTGGCTCATCGTACCGTCGCCACGGCTTGCTGGGGTTGAGCACGAAATAGTTGAAGAGAAAAAGAAGGAAAAGAAGAAACGAAACGGTGAAAGAGAGAAAAAACTTCGCCTAAAAGAGGTTCGACCAACGAAACCATCACGTGACCCTCCTTCAAAGATCGCCATGTTGCATCAATAATCTTCAACCTTGGAACAAGTAGGATTGGATTCCTAATATTGCGGCCAGAAGAGTAATTCGATGCGTCCGGTGATCCGTGATACCCCAGGGTTATGTACCGGCCCTGGCCGCGCTACAGGCCAGGAAACACGTATGAGATTGTACTTAACGCTATGGCTTCCCCCAGATCGAACGTAAAGATGTTGCAGGCAGCTTCTCTTTCTTCAGCTTCAAAAGCAGTGCGATCTGGTCATCCGCTGCTGAATGATTTCTTGCGTGAACTACCGACATGGCGATAAATTCTTTTATTAAAGCGTTTAGACAAGGCCTGGACCCTGGTGAATCTGGCCAGGCTTACGAACCTAACAAGGGCAAACTGCATAGCCGCATTGTCGATGTTATTCAGCGAACGTTTGACCTAGGATTCACCTCTTTTGGAGGGCCGCCGGTACATTTTAGAACGCTTCACCGGCGTTTTGTATCGGACACGAGAGGACGAGTGCCATGGGTTGACGAGCAGACGGTGTGGATATGTCGCCTCTCATTTTCTTCAACTGAAAACTGGACTAACTTAGCTCGATGCATAGTATCAGGAGCTGTTTGCGATCAGTCAAGCGCTGCCGGGACCGGGAAGCACCAAGATGCTCTTCTGCATAACGATGATACATGCAGGCTTTCTCCCGGCAGTGCTTACATTCTTCATGTGGACGTTTGTTTCCCCAGCTCCGATATTGCAGGGATGCTGAATCCCATCATGGTATTGATATTGACATATATGGATATCCTATAGTCTTCCCGGGGCGATCGGAATGTTCGGCCTTGCCCTTGGAGTCGCCAAGCTAGACCAGAACCTCCCTACCATAGTATATGCGTTCCTTTCTGGACTTAACGCATCAACTGTTGGCATTATCGCCCTCGCAGCAGTCCAGGTAACTCGTCATTCCTTATTTCTATCATATATGATAGTAAGAAAGTGGCTAACTGATTCATAGCTAGCAGATAAGTCCATCCAAGATAAAATAACCAGGATTCTGGTCATTTTTGGCGCATCTGCTGGCTTGTGTTACCAAGCTATTTGGTACTTTCCGATCCTTATAATAATCGGTGGTTGCACAACCGTATTTTGGGATCTGATTGCTCAGCCCAATATCAAGAAGCTGAGGCGTAAACTTCGTCAAAGACGCTCAAGTCCCTCGGCTGATGCTGAAGCCGGTGTTAATCAAGTCGGCATCCAGTTGAATGACCCCCGCCTGAATCCAACGCTCCAGCGGCGCAATGCTATGGCTGGGAGGGGACAGGAAGTTGACGGTGACGAAACCTTCCTCCGGCGTTCGGGTAGCTCGACCGTTGTCCCTGACAGCCCTAGTACCCTCGTTGGAACTCCTGAAATTCAACGTATGGATACTCATTCACACTCTATACCTATTAAATGGGGTATCTTGATCATCGTGCTCTTCTTCGGTGCGTATTTAAACATCCCCCTTCGCCCCGTGAATATTCTAACCCAACGGGAAATTTAGCAAGTTTCGTTGCTATACTTGTAGTGCGCCAGATGATGGAGAAACCAACACTTGACCTCGACCTTTTCTCCAACTTATACCTTGCTGGAACAGTGATATTTGGCGGCGGACCGGTCGTTATTCCCTTACTACGCGAATATGTTGTTGGACCCGGCTGGGTTTCACCACGAGACTTCCTCATTGGCCTTGCTCTCATCCAAGCTTTTCCAGGGCCGAATTTCAATTTTGCTATATATCTAGGAGGACTTGCGGTAGCCTCTATGAACTCGCCCACAATCTTGGGCGCTTCCATGGCGTTCGTCGCCATATATGTCCCAGGCTTAACTTTGGCGGTGGGGTTCCAGAGCTGTTGGAGTGTTCTGCGAAAGTACCAGCTTACAACTAGTGCCCTCAGAGGGATGAACTCGGCTGCAGTTGGGCTGGTATTCACTGCAGTTTATCGGCTGTGGGAGATTGGCTACTTGAGTGCCCATGCATCTAATGGCCAGAGTCTTGGAATGGAACCCTTTTGGGTGGTTGTAGCGGCTGTAACCTATGCTGAAAATGCTTGGTTTAAAGTCCCACCCGCCATTGCTATTGCCATTGGTGGTATACTGGGCCTATGCTGGTATGCGATAGTTCAGCGGTAGTTCAGCAGCAGTTGGGTCTGTCTTGTTTGGAGTACCTATACTCCTGGTGTTGCTGGTGTTTAATGCCTTCTTTTTTTTATATACAAACAACTTGCTCAGCACAATATTTCAGTCACGTGATTTAATACCATTAATAATTAGGATACAAATAATACTGTAAATTTACGTATTTTATTACACTCTAAGCGATTTTGTATCACGTGATCCACACCCACTCCAAAATCGCATCAAAAACATTTTCGCGACTCCACGAACTTCTCGACATCGACACATCTCGAACCGCCAATTTTCGCTCTTCACCAGCACCACCAACACCGCCAACATGGGTCGTCTTCACAGCAATGGCAAGGGTATCTCTGCCTCCGCCCTCCCTTACTCTCGCACCGCCCCCGCCTGGGTGAAGACCACTCCTGATCAGGTTGTCGACCACATCTGCAAGATGGCCAAGAAGGGTGCCACCCCATCTCAGATCGGTGTTGTCCTCCGTGACAGCCACGGCATTGCCCAAGTCAAGGTCGTTACCGGTATGTTTATTGTCGGGCTCGAGTTCCTGCGACATCAAATCCCTTGTGCGCATGCAATATTAACGTATTTCTCTAATATAGGAAACAAGATCCTCCGCATCCTCAAGTCCAACGGTACGAGCCCATATATAAAAATCCCTGTGTGAGGCGAGCGATGTTTAGAGAAGCGTTTCAACGTGAGATATCGTTGAACATTATCTAAGCATCGATCGCTTCACACGTAAATAATGATTGAACTTTCCCAGAGCTCCTCTGGAGACATGGTCTTTCAACATTGCCTCTGCTTGGTCATGATTGGCTGACAGAGAGATTTCTGTAAACTGTATAGGCCTCGCTCCTGAAATCCCAGAGGACCTTTACATGTTGATCAGAAAGGTAATTCACTTCACTATGTTATAATTATAATTGACCTGGAGCTAACATATTCATTTTAACTAGGCCGTTGCTGTCCGCAAGCATCTCGAGCGTAACCGCAAGGACAAGGACAGCAAGTTCCGTCTTATTCTGATCGAGTCCCGTATCCACCGTCTCTCCCGCTACTACAAGTCCGTTGGTGTCCTCCCACCAACCTGGAGATACGAGAGTGCCACTGCTAGCACCATGGTCGCTTAAGCGGCTTCCCTACCATTCACGAATTCAATGGACAAGTTACAAGTATGGGTGTAAAAAAAAGCAAATGGGCGTGGGTCTGCACCAGGGATATAGCTGTTCCAATCGAGCTACCTGGCAGAAATGCCTGGAGTTTGTACGGACTGGAGCGATTCTTTCAAAAAATCGCAGGAACTGAGCGTTAGATTATCCTCATAATTAATTGAGTTCTTCCTGGTTACCTTTTCCCGTCATATATGCTACCAGCAGTTACGAATAATGAAACGAAATCAATCATAATATCACAATATGGACAAAGGTGATGCTAGCGTAACGTCCAAATGGTATATATATGGTGGGAATTTATCTAGTAAAAAGTCAAACATATCTGATCTCGCGCGCAACAGCATTGCAGAGCTCGACCCTCACTCCTGCTCCTGTAAGCACATGAATCCAAAGCCGTTGGGTATCACTTAAACGATCACTTTCAGACTTGACCTCCGAAAACATCACCTCCTTGGTATCCATACGCCAGAGAAATAGGTCTGGAATGCCTCCGCCTCGCTGTTGATATTCCTGTGCCATAACCTGGCAGATAGTTGCTAGACCTTCACCGCGGAAACATTGCACAATCTCAATGAGATCACTGAGATCGAACGACCAGTCTATGCCTATAGCGCAGGTTTGCTTTGCCGACTCACGTTCGTGGACTTCACGGATGAGCTGCTGTGCCTCCCCATTTGATATTTGAGCAAGTCTGGACTTGATCTCAGATATTCGCGAGGGATAGAATGAATCAGTATGTAAATCTAGGGGACAGGTTTGGTATGGAGTCTGGAAGACGTTCGGAACATAGGCGAATATAACATCGTAAAATAGATATCCAAACTAATGAAAAGGGGTCAGTACATCAAGCAACAAGGCAACATCATCTCATCATCAGGTGAAAATGAGGTCCAACTCACGAGTGTTCGTAGAATACCGCTCTCACAATGAAATCCTTTCCAACCCTGGTCTCTATACCAGCTAAGGCACATACTTTCAACTCGGCATTCACCACCCCCTTCCCTTTCATCAACCCAGACGGTTGGGCGGCCTTTGCTTTTCACATTACTGTTTCCAGCTGGTTTCGCATTGGACTGCTTTGCGGGAAGCTCCTTTTCAATCCGGATCCCTTGCACCGTACGTTCTTCCGGCTTTGCTAGCATAACATGGGAAAAATCATGCTGTTCCCGTTTAGGTATCTTTAGGGATCTCTCCAGCTTTGCTATTCGTTTTTGCAGATTATAATGGTAAATTACGTGGCAGTCTGGGTCTCGGAGGCCATCTTCGCAGGTACGAAGAGCTTTCTGCTTCCATTCTCTCTTTCGGGCATCCTCTGGACGAATATCACTGGCAATAAGTGACCACATATAGTGTTCTTCAAGGAGCGCTTTACGCTGGTACCAAGCGCCCCGTCTTGCAGCATGAAAGAGGCGTTGGTCGAGTAGCTCTGTTATTGTTTCATGTTCTTGTTTATACTCCTTGAGGCGTCCAAGAGACCACAGGCCTTTATGTATGATTCGGGTATACACCCAGGCAGGAGAAAACCGCCATAGGTATGCGCCTTCCCCGTAATCATATAACCGTTCTTCCTTCGACTGCTCCTCTTGGAGTATCGTTTTCCACCTAGGATATACCGCCTCCGAAATTTGCTTGATGATGATTATCTTCTCATCAGTCGATGAACCGCCCGACTCCATCTCTTTGTCCAAGTCATACTGGATACGAAGGGCGGTTTCGAATTCGATTAAATGGGGCCTGGTGGGAAATATGGAATTTGAACGGCAGACAATATAATTTGGATAGTTTCTTCTGGATATTTTTGCCAATATTATAGCCGTGAGCGACTTTTCCGTCCATTGAGTAGAACGGTAAAACACCAAGTGGATGCGCTCAAAGAGTTTCAGAGCCCCGCTTGAGAGCCGAATACAATCGCCAGTGATATCAAAAATCTTTTTTCGAAAAAAGGTATCCCTAGCCCCGACTTTGCCATTATGAGTGGCGGGATTTAGAGGGGTATCTTCATCGCTTTCACATTTTTCAGTATTTGGGGTTGAAAGCCATTTTAGGCCGGTTTGGGTACTGCTCGCATCACACAGTCCCTGTATTAAATCTTTCTTATTTTTGCCTTGCACCTTCACCTCTTTTGCTAAAGCCTTCAATTCGTCGAGTAGGAGCAATGACAATGCTTCTTCGATGGTCTTTATTTCCTCTATGCCTTCTGCAAACTGAAATTCTTCTCCTAGGGTAGCAACTGGAGGCGTTTCTATCCCTGGGAGAGTAGGCACTGCGTTGCAAGTTGACATTGGTAGCGGCCTTACCTTCTGTAGATCATCGACAGCAGCGGGTAAGTCTAAAATATCATCATAGTAGCCCAAACGATTGACTCGATGCCATGCGGACGTTTTACGTAGGAATAGTCGAATATATCTAAGTTCCACGCATCAATAGGGTGTTCACTGAACATACTGAGTCTTAGATATAGAAGGAAAGGAGGCAGCAAAGAGACGAACAGGTATCTCGATTCATAGCACAGGCTTTTCCAATAATTCAACAGTGCTTTCTCTGCTTCATTAAAAAGGTGGCATCCATCCTCCCAGACAACACGAAAGGCGTAGTCAAAAGCATCGACATAAATAGAGCGTCCTTCTCGTCTGGCGAGCTTTTTCTCAACGGGTTGATATTGGATCTCCTCCGGTTTACCTTCGTCATATACCGAGGCTTTCCACTGCTCGTACTCCTCGATAGCATCTTCGTCTGCTTTAACAGATGGGAGAGACTCCTCCAAGCCAGCCTCTTGATCGAATGGCGCAATGCCAAGCTCAGAAACCTGAACAAAGTCATCTTGGTGCTCATACGTCACCGTTGGCCCAGGTGAAGCTAACGCATCCTTCTCAGCACCGGAATCTGATCGTTTGCTCGACGTCGAGTCGCCTGGACTTGTTGAAGTTCGTCTTCGTTTGACCTGTGAGTTGCGTGGTCCTGCCATTATTACAATAGCATATAACCAAACGAACTATGGAAACTGAAACATGACAAGCAAATCGATATCACCTCAACTTGCCAATCAGTCTCAGGTGTTCTCCGTAGATATCAGGTATCAACCAGACATCCTTCACGTTTGGCGCTTCGAGGACGCGTTTGAGATTTTGGACACGACACGAAGTCACATGATCTAGAAAACCACTTAAACACTGTTTGTTCTGTTTGTTCCATGAGCTCTCCGAGCTTCAAGTTCAATATCATCGAGATATCTAACGACGAGCTGAGGAGAGAACTGCCCAATTGTGGCAGCGAATTGACCTCAGATATACCTTGAAGGTTATGGGATCGTGACAGTGCTACTATCCCATATGGCTGATGCTCCACCACACTTGCCAGGAGGCAATACACTGCCTTCTGGCACTGGATTTCCAATTTCCGATAAACAGAACAATGGAGAAGCGCTGCAAGAAAGGCCAATTGCCATGCAGAATAACAATGTATGTAATAGATATCATGAGTCACTTTGAATCTTTTAAACCACGACTGGGACAATCTCATCAAACGACCTATACCCAATAACTCACGCCCCGCCAACCCCCCGTCCTCTATCTTATGGCCTGAAGCTGACTTTGACCACCGCCAAATCGCTTGGGTTTCGCATTATCTATCAGCCTCCAGATTTAAGTTCTACTCCTAAGCTTGCTACCGGCGCTCCTCCTGCACCGGCAACAGCTTCGACAGCCTCTCGCGGCGTCACTCCGTCCGTAGACAACGAGTCTTCCAATAAACAGCACGATAACCGCGATACCATCATGGGTGGTGGCTACGAGACTAGAGGCACTTATCGAGGGAATGGCGCTGGTGCTGGTAGCTTGGGCGGCACACATGCAACCCCGCAGCCTCAGGCTACTGGTGCGCCAGCTCGCATATATATGAACGAGAAGATAGTACCATATCTTCTCGAGGGTATGAAGATGGTGGCCAAGGATCAGTGAGTTACTGTCTATTTTCAGCCCTATACAGATACATTGAGATCTTGTTATCATCTCAGAGTGTTATGGCACCAAACTAATATTTTTAGACCCGCGAATCCACTACAGGTACTAGGAGAATATCTCATACAAAAGAGTGGTGAGGTCGGAGAAACTTCTAGCGAACAGCCAACTGCCTGATGCACTGAAATTTCTCTGGATACTACTCAATTAAAATGCTCTGCCACGCATTGACGGATACCGGTTCCCTGACTTCAACTATATTGAGCCTAGCAACCCCAAAAAGGAGTTGAATCTTTACCAAAATATCAAAACGCGTGCATGTCCTTCTTCTGGAACTTTGGCGTTCTAATTAGGCTTTTAGTTAAAGAGGATAGAACAGCTTCAAATATATGTAACATGGAGATATGAGCTAGGCGCAACGAATTATAATGAATTTATATTCCAATTGTTATATTACTTCAGGGCTGTAACAACTCTTATTGCTCCTAGCAACGTGTTCTGCTAGGAGGAGAAAACCATTACTATGTATACCCATAGGGAATATGCCGAGGACCTTCATAGGTATTGCATTATGTCAAAAGTGAAGAGCTTTAGGAGACCTGTTTCGCCCCAAGATTGGTGAAACCAGAGAAACACTGGGTCGCCAAGGTAGAAGGATCTTGTGGGGTTAGATTAGAGATGATACTCCATCTACCCTCCTAAGATGTGCTCTAGCAGTGGTGATGTTTTAGGCAGATGAACACACACAGCCTTGGGTCAAACTATACCGTTATTGACCAGGGACGTAATGCTAACACCAGCAAATATATATTCATGTGCGATCATCAAAAGGCCAGCTGCACGGCTGATACACTAAGGAAGTCCCATCAGTAAGGTCAGTATGGTAGAAGAGAACTTACCAGATGCCGGTTACAGTTGAATGGTTCTCATTCCAGTGGTGAGTAGGTGTGCATATGCCGTTAGTGGGTGGCTGGAAGGCCGTTTCCCAAGCAGTAATGTATCACAACAGTAGAGGGACAAGGATATAGGGCATCCTTTCCCTACCACCATGTAACCGTTATAACAGGGGGCGTATGCAGAGAGAGACGAGGGGATGGGTGAATCGGCTCTCAAAAGATTTTTCGACTACGAGTAGCGACAGAAGCGGGATAGATGAATAGCGCCGGGTTCCCAGTTGCAGGATTTGTAGCGGTGTAGATATTGAGACATTGTTTGATAATTTTTGGAAGCGTCAGGCCACTCTTGGGCCCAATTTTTGCAGGAGTCGTTACCTCAATTTGTGTGAAGAGATGCAATACGGCGAAACAAGTTGACTACCGATAAGGACCATAGGAGAGAATGCTGCGGAAGATATTGCTGCCCACAAGAAAAGCCGAAGGTATTACAACGTTTAGACAACCTGTTTTCCGCCGCCTTGCTTCGTGATTTTAGCGACATGAAAAGAAACAGCTGCTAGAGCGAACGGTGACATATCAAACAGACGTTTGACCTCAGACGTAAGCTGCGAGCCATTCCAAATTTGTCGAAGCCACGCAATAAGTGTGGGAGCGAAAGGTGATGTGTAACAAACATAGAAGCGCCGCCGTTACCGATTAAGTACCGATCCCAGCTGAAGATGCCGACAATAAACCATGTGTGGAATACAGTAGTAGAATCAGAGGATGACAACCAGAGAAGGAAAAGATAAGCAAAGATAAAAAGGGGAATCGATCCAGGGAGCAAGCGTAGAATGGTCAAGCGTTGCTTGAGCCGAGCCTTGGTTGCCGTTGAAGGGCTTGCAAGCGCGGGATACCTACCTACCTAGCGGGGGCCGGATCTATCGTCCCAACGGTTATCATAAGCTCGACTGCCAGAAGGCTCATGAGACTCACGATGGGAAGGGGCATCTGCGTAAGCCGAAGCAGATTGTGCGCGAGCATCATCTCGGTCATAATATCCTCCACCTCCACCACGGCGGTCACCTCGGTCACCTCGGCGGTCACCACGATCTGAACGGTCACCTCTGTCGGCTCTGTCACCTCGGTCGCCTCGATCACCGCGGTCTCCACGGTCGCCACGGTCTCCTCCGTATCTATCGTCACGGCCTGATGTAGCGTAGCGATCGACGCCTCGGTGGCCGTAATCATCGCGATAATCACGACGACTGCTGCGGTCACTGTAGGAATCGTAGCGAGGGTTGCGGTAGCCGTCATCATAACGACGGCCGTGGCCACCACCATACCCACCGCGACGGTCATCATAGCGATCGAATCGACCGCCGCGACTTGGTCCACGGATTTCTTCTATCCGTTTTAGCAAATTCCTTTCAAGAAAATTATCTTTTTCTGGGGAGCGATTACGTACCACGCTTGGGAGGACCAAAGTATTTGCCGGGTGTAGGAGTCCTGGGACGGCTACGGCGAGCCTTCTCGATGCTGAGGGTGCGTCCGTCAATGACCTCGCCCTGTAGACCCTCTCTGGCCGCCTCTGCTTGGTCTGGAGTAACCATGTTCACGAAACCGAATCCACGCGACTCCTTGGTGTGAGGGTCAAGCATGATAGAGCAGTTTTCCACTTCACCATATTTCTCGAAGAGACGAATCACGTCTGCTTCACTCAAACGAGGATGGATGCCAGTTACAAACAAGTTGGTGCCTGTGTTCTGAGCTCCTTCTTCCTCCTCAGTGTTTTTCATCCGAGTATCGGCTCCTTCGTTACTGCGGGACGTTAGTTGCCATTACTCGAAAATTAATCAACGGTGGGATAGTAGCATAGCTTGCTTACCGTTCAGCTCGGCCATTGGGGGAAGCGCTGCGGTTTCGAGCAGCGCGATTGGCGTCCTGCGGCGACGCACTACGTCTGCGGTATTGGGGTTCTTTAGAGAGAAGAAGAAGAAAAGTCACAGTTTAGTCCTCGGTTCATGCATTGCTGTAGATTGACGTAGATTGATGCCGGGCGTTACCTTCGAACCGATCGTTCTCGTTCTCATACTCCATGTCGGCCATGATTATTTTTCGAGTTAGCGGCTTGAAGTTGCCACCTAGAGTTTAGTCCTGGAGAGTCCGCTGCTGCGAGATATCACTGAAGAGATAAAACGACGCGAGTTGCAGCACCTAGTGAAGGAATAACAGAGTGTCTGGCGGGCGAGGTCGGCGGTTGGAAGTTGGCGATGTCTGAGAGACGACGAAAAGCTGAAAGTGAAGCTGCTTCAAAGAGAAATGTAAGCTGATCCTTTAGCTGCGCCCGATTAGGACTAGCGCCTTATCTTGGCCAGGGGAGTTTTACAAACAAAAGAGTGAATATATCATGGCACACGTATATTAGTTTGTCTTCTAATTAAAATGATAAAGAGGTGGAATACAATCGTGAAGGGTGACAAAAAATATTGTGGTAGAGTAGATCATTTAAATCCTCGCCAACGCTTGCGTGTTTTGTGGGTTTTTTGCCCTGAGGCCTCGTCTAGGACTGCGGACGCCAGGTCCTGTCCTGTACTTTGCACTGCTGCTCCTTCAACGCCGTCATCGTCTCCAGCCAGGTCACGGAGCTCCTCGTCACCTATATCACTCAGTTCTTCGCTCATGCCTCGGACCAGCTCCCTCCCGGTCCATCGTTCCTCGTGGATGGTGGTGCCAATCGGATCGAACGGTTGCATGTACCACTGGATACCACCCTGGGCTAAAGGTAGCAGTTGCTGTCCTCCCGAGAAGCTTGCTGGTGGCGTAGGCGGCGTGGCTTCATCGCCCGGAATCCGTGGTCGATCGTCCCCTGTCTTGGCAGTAGTTGTTTGGCCGGTTTCACCTTCACTTGAAGCTGCTCGAGGAGCTGAGTTCTCGTTGTATAACGTAGCTCCCTCGCCGTTATTCTCCCGGTAAGCAGGCGTATCAAGTGTCATTTCTACATCCCCGTCTTCATCGCTCACCCGTAGCCCTGGATTCCCATTTGTTGGTAGAGTAGGTTTCTCGTTGGTGGCTAGGTCTGTTGGGTTTTCGGCGACTTCACTCTTGGACTCTGGCGTTAAATTCGGTAGATTCTTTTCATTGTCGACTTCAATTCCATTAGGCAGCGGCTGTGCGGCCATCTCGGCAAGAAGAGCAGTGTTGACGGTTTCCCCTGAGGAAGTATTTATGGAACCCCTACGAGAGCCAACGCTATTCTCAAGGATGAGATCTAGGCCCTTGAGCTCGTTCTCATAGGGTTTGCCGTTTAATTCGCTTTCCCTTTTCAATGCATCCTCCAATAATGGCTGGATGGCCTTGATGATTCTCTTGGCAAGTTTTCGCTTCTCTCGCTGTTCATGACTGAGTTCGGGAGCACGGCCACTGATCTGCATCTGTAGTTCAGCCGTGTCTCCAACAGAAGCGACTCCGATTCCTGAAGTGAAAACCTGCGCGAGATCTCGAGAAAATTCTGAAACGGATGTATAGTAGCGATCTTCTAGTTTTGACCGAATAGACTGGAAACCAATAAAGAAAACTCCCTTTCCGTCCAATCTGTTGAGCAGTTAGCAAACGTTATAAAGACCGCTTCCAAGTTTCATAATGAAGTATAGTAGACACTTACGCTTGTGCTTTCTCGAAAACAGGCCAGAGCATTGGTGGTATAGGAAAGTACACTATATCAATGATACTCTGAAGAGTTTCTGCATCCTTGAGTTTCTCCTTTTCACGCTTTTTAACTTCGCCGCATAGCATTCGAACTTTGTCGATATCGTGGTATAACCGTTCCGCGAAGTCTATCCTTCGTTCCAAACGGACGGTTCCCGCACGACCCATTCCAGAGAAATTCCGTCTCGTCATTTCCATGGATGAGAAGGTTTCCAATGAAAGCTGCAATCGTTTCAACAACGCAGCACCTCGTCGAGCCTCCCGTTTAAGTGTCCAATATTTACAGGCGTCCTCGGCATATTGCTTCCTTTGACGAACAGTAAATCGGGCCAATGAAGCGACGACGCTGTCAAGCACGACTCGCGGTATGACAGGCGCTCCAGAGGGTAACTTCCAGATTGTTCGTGTATTGGCGCGTTTTCTCTTATTGTTGCTGCCGACAGTTAATGTAATTCGAGGAGTTATAGGCCTACCGTCGGTCTCATTGGGGTCCGCACCCTCCTGGGCTTCTGGTCCCATTGCAAGCGCGGCAGCTTGACTATCTCCCCATTTCTTCCCTTGCATGGCAGTACGGTAGTATTCCAAAGCTTGTGCAGTGGCAGAGGCAGTGTTATGGTCCGTTTGCCAGTCTGGAGGAACGTGCTTGTCGCAGAAGGCCTTGAGTTCGTTTGAATCCTTAACCGCGGGAGCTCCAGGGGTCAGTTTCATCCTCAAGTATAGATGCGCCCGTCTTCCACACGTAGGATGGAATGCTACAAAGCAGTTCTTGTTGCTGCACTGTATGCATGCGCCCATCTTCTGGCGGCAGATGTAGCATGTAAGTTTCCAACGGCTCCTTGGAACCTTTTCGATTTCAATAACCGGCTCCATTAGAGATGGGTTCCCGATTGATACTTCTGGGATCCAGACTGCGCAAAGGAGATGGGACCACTTGGAGGTATTTGTCTGTTTGAAGGCGCCTTCGGTATTGGGACAAAAGATACAAGATGGTGATCCTCGGCCAATGAGCTGACACTTGCGACAGAGCCACTGACCCTCGGGAATGTAGGGCACTCCATAGCATTCCTGGTGGACAGCCAGATCGCAGCCATCACAAAAGACAATGGCGTTGGCGTTCTCACAATCACCGTCATCACATATAGCACATTTGCTATCTTGCTCCTCTCCCGAGCCTGGATTCTCACCATTTACTGCCACTGCAGAACTGGAGCGTGGTCGTTGTGTCTGAGGGGGTTTGGGGTTTGGTTTCGGTATCCGTCTCTCCAGGGCATGCCATTCCTTCTCTATTTTGGTCATTGTAATTTCAAAGATAGCAGGTTTAATTGGCTCGAACTCTTCGGCTTTCCGTTGCAGATTATATTCTTCCAGCCACCTAGCGTCCTGTTCATCCATATCGTACTCTACTCTACCCACGCCAGCATTTGGAGCGGCCACGCCTGCATCGCCCTCTGCAGATGGCGGGGGTTCTAGATCGACATCACCGTCTGCCGTGCCTTCCGTCAATCGGATCATTCGTCTATCGTGTCGGAGGAAAACGTCGCTTTCCTGGTAGCCCACACTCGCCATGGTACGGTCAACGTAGTTTTGCTGTCCGACGCCCTTTTGTTCAAATGGTAAAAACGGGTCTTTTATAACCCAAGACGGTTTTGGAAGTGTAAGTTTTTCCCGCGGATTCGGCCCAGGTATCGACACTGTTTTAGACTCATCTGGTGTATTGATACTATTCCCCGAATCTGTCCGTCTAGGCCTATCAAGTCGACGTTTCGAGGGGGAAAGACTTGGCCCGCGGCATCCGTTCGGTGTGCTGCTGGCATCTCCATTTTCTCCGCTGCCGTTCCCATTTATTCCGTTCGAGGACGAATTCTCGTCATTGACCAAACCGTCAACCTCCTTCGAGCTAAACACGGCAATCTGGGCATCGATATCGAGATCGGGATGAAATTCCTCCCAACCACGTTCCTCGCGAGGCATGTATCCCTCGCCCTGCGCCACCGCCAGTACCGCCGCCGCAGCAGAGCTATATCTCCGGCTCTGGTTCCTCTGGCGATTCGAACGTGAAGATGTTGGCGGAGTTGCGGGAGGAAAGCGCGAGGCAGCGTGGGAGTCCCGAGAAGGTCTGGTCCTGGGTGTGCTGTTCTTATTCCGCATCTGCGAGGAGGCGCGGACCGGAGGGTCTATATCATCCACCTCGATGTACCGCCCACCTCCTCCAGGACCCCCGGGCACATACTTCAGCTTCTTTGGCGGCGGTTCTCCGGGGACGTGTACAGCCGCATTTCGGGCCCCCTTTGGCGCTGGTCTGGGGCGCGGCTTGGGTGTCCGAACAGCAGACGACTTGCGCTGCACGCTGGCGGTAGACGAAGTCATCCTATATCCGTTCTCCCCCCCCGTAGCGCCTCCGCGATATGTTAATCCGATCGAAAGATAAGGGCGAACTGCCCCCGGCGATGGTGGATGCTTATATGCCAACTTATCACTCGCTGTCGTGTCTTGGGGGTGATTCACTCTACGCTGGCGCGCAATATAATCATCCCAGCGTGTTGTCAACGAAGAAGCAGCTCCATAGGCCCAGCAGCAGCGTGCGTAAGCCCGTTATATCAGATATCAAGCCGTCATCGAGTCGTGAATTGCGCCCATCGCGGGTTTCCTTCCATCCACCGTTTTGGGCTGAGGTGCTGACCGAGTCACGCTAGACCGCATCGGGGCAAAGTGCGAGATATATGCCAAGACTTTACAAAGAGAGCGCGACTTGCCCGATGCGGAAACATAAAAACATCTTGCTCAGGAGGGAATCTCAGGGAACTCGGTTCTCGCTTTGATCCCTGAAGAAGGGTGAATACAGAGCTTTCTTTTGCGGGTGCAGCATGAGCGGCGCGGGTGATGACAGGTATGTACGTGGGTTTTCTTTTTCCCTTTCTTTTTATTCTTGCATTTAAGTTGACTGTTGTCTTAATTAACTAGATGGCGAGGAGGCCGAGGATATGATCACGGCCGTCCTTCGGGCCAGCGACACCAGGGCGGAGGATATCGAGACCGTCAGAGCGGTACACACCAGCAGGACCGCCATGGACACCGAAACCAGGTGAACAACAACATGACTGCCACGGCAGCATGGACAGGACCCCCGAGTGGTCCCTCGCGCGAACCCCATATCCCCGTTCGAGGATTCAATTCCGCCGAGCTAAAGGATGCTCTAAGGAAAGGTATGAGATACTCTTGTCTTGGGTTGGGCTGGTGGCAGCTTGCTAATTATAGTGCTTCACCGCAGATTACAAGAAAGGCGGACAGGGCGGTATGTCATACCTTGTCTGCATATTGAAATGCTGAGATGGCTAATTTTTGGCGGACGGATGCTTGAAGAACCTCAACCAGTAATTTACAGGCCAACGGGCAAAGATGGGAACCCAGCTCGACCCAGTGGACCTTGGGGTTCAAAGCGTACGCTCCCTTCCCTTCTCCGGCGTCGTTACGTTTATAGCAACACCTGAAACTGACAAGGACTAGCAAATTCAATGGCTAACGGCAAGGATTTCTTCCTCGAACTGCGAAAGCAAATATCCGGACTCCAGCAATCCAACGTTCAGGGCGGCTAGAGAACTGGAAGGATCCGAGGAATACCACTATGCAGCCTGCTCGAGTAGTAGGTAAGCTGCATTACTGAGAGACTAGCGTGGTATTCTTTGCCTACTCTAGTGCCTAGAGATAGAAAAATAGTATTTTTTGTCTCTTCCGAGCTACGCTGCTGCATATGTATATTCTTAGATATCGGTCGATGCATTTCAGCCAGGGCCGAAAATAGTAGTCTGTTTCGAATCGTACTGTCGTTGCAAGTTTCATAGTTCCCCCGGAGTTTTCATGTACGATGGAAACAATCTATATGCAGCCCAGGTTGGAACGGAGAAAGGGCATTAAATATTGCCCAATCTGGCCCCCATCCCTTTTCGGCACTTTCTCCCCCATCCTACCATCTCGCTTTTTCACGACGCTCGCTTAATTGCTAGCTTGACCGTCTAGCTCTCGCCTTTGGCATTCCTCATTCTCCATGATTGGTAGCCTCTCACTGTCGCCGCAGTGGGCTGTTTGGAGCTGACGCTGACAAGCTGATGGCTGATGGGCTGACCCTTCTATCACGCTGGTAAATCAGATCGAGCCCGCATGACAACCCTCTCCTTGCAGAACATACCGTGCCGTTTACGAGTTGTGCCATCCTGGACCGGCTATCATGCACGATATATTCAATTTTAAGCACCCGACGGGCGGCAAGAGGTCGCTCCTTAGAGCTAACCCTGCACCTCCTTGCACGAACCCAGACACATTATAGTGCCACGACACCAACGGGGGAAAGGGGTATATACTGTTTCATCGAAAGAGACGGCTGCACAAACCCCCCTGTGGCCTGCTTGGAAACCTGGTCCCAAGCTGACGTTTCTCGAACTCATCGCCGTCCCAGCATCACACATAAACGGCGCGCGGTGCAAGGGCATATAGACCAATAACAAACGGCCCACGTCTATTAATAGCGGATTGACGTTGGATCAGGACCTACCGGCTCACGTCTCGAGATATAGACGCGCCGTCTTCTAATAGATGCTATGCTTGCTATATAACCAGGAGGTTCCGGAGTCCGATGCCAGTACGCTACGACCACGTCAACAGAGGAGACATGGATGGGATCCCTTGGTGGCCCCTCGCCACACCCATGAAAAAGAAAGCACAGACTGCGCTGCACAACGATACTACGCTGGATGTACGATGAGCTTCCTAGCGGGATCTCATGAGCAGCGGCAGCCAGCTTGGTGGCAATTACAGTACGAGCGTATCCTTGGCTTATGCGGGCCGAGTGGGTTGGCGGCTAACCACCAGTACAATTGGTTGTTATTCCAGGGAGCGGGCCGTCCGTTAACTTTAATATCAACGAGGCCAAAGGTCCGGCCAGCTTCGCTTTCTCCCCCGTTGCGGCGTGGGATCCTGCTTCGGGCCATTGACAAATACATCGGCTTGGAAAGGCGGAACTATATACCATTCCCTCGTCCTAATCCGCTTAGGCTCCCGGACAAGCAGAGAATATGACGACCTGGGGGGGGTACCTGTTCAAAAGGCTGATGCAACGATATCTCGTACTCGGTCTGACCACAACGAACCCTAAACGCCTGCCCTATTCCAAAATTAGTATCACCCAGCCAGCCAGCCAGCTATGCAGATTCATGTTGCGTAAATGCTCTCCGGAGAATGGATTCGGAAACCAAGTCATACTAACCGGGCGGGAAAGACCGTGGCAAGTGATGCAATCCGTTAGCAATAGGGAGAGGTCTAACCCAAGATCTGCTTCAGAATCGACCAGGGTCGACCTACGGACCCGCTCGTTTTGTTGTTTTTACCAGGTATGACAATGGGGACCTAACATAGAGCCGCTTATGTGCCAATAATGCGCCTTACCTGTGCTCAAAATATGAAATACCCCGGCCAGTGAGCATTGCAGATTTGCGCGATTCCGGAAACCCATGACACATATATACTCCAGCCTAGTGCACAATTAACCATCGTCAAACGCACTATTGGCTTTATTTGTTTTTAGTTTGCCCCCCTTCCGTCGTCGAAGCGCTTGGTGTGTTTAGCCCAGGCTTAGGCCGCAGGAGGACCCTCGTTTTGGCCGTGGACAAGCCTCATGCGCTCGTTGCGGTGATGGAGTACAAAAAAGATCCGCCACCTCCATATAAGAACCAAACTTTCTTCTTCTCCAACCGCTCTTTTACTTGATCTCGTTTGTACAAACATCTTGGATTGATCTCAGTTGGAATCTGGAAGTCGGATACGTTCATTTCGGGGGTCTTAACAGCTTTCACGCGAATTCACCTTTTTCAATTTACATTCCTGCGCCGGCGCAACCACCTGGTCGAGACCGCCCTAGGCTAACACAGGCAATAGTAGGTCATTTCTCGCAAGGCTGGCCGGCGTGACGCCTACTGAACCCTTCATTCTCCCCGTCTCTCTATTTTTTAATACATCACTTGATTTTACTACCCTATCCACGCTCGATATAATATCTGTTATGATTCACGGCTGTCTATGCTACGTTGTTTATGCCCATTGTCACATTTGTTACCCCACTAATACACAACCAAATCCTACCTGTGATCCCCCATTGCCGGCGATACTGGAGCACGGAGTCCTCGTTTATCACTGAATTTCCCCAGCCCACGGCGTTCATTCCTTCCCAACTGTCCAGGTCCCTTATATTCCAATCCCCGACGGCGCACAGAGGTGATTTTTGATTTCTATTCACAAAAGTGCGAGAAGCCCACTCTCCTTGCAATTCCCCGAGGAGCTCCTTTTATCTGAGGAAAACGGAAAACTGAGATGCCGAAACAGACCCCAACACGATCTTCGAAGAAATCTGGCCCATATCCTTCTCCAAAGAGAAGACGGCAGTTATCCTCTCAAGCCAAAACAGCAGCGGCAGCAGCAGCAGGCCCACCAACAGTCCCAGAGCCTGATCCAGAGCCAGTAAGCCCAACGACAGCCATGAATACCAGCCGCATGGCGACGGGTGCCTCCGCTACCATGGCACCCCAGGCAGCGAATCCTTGGCAGCGAACTGCAACCCCTGTATATTCCATGCCCCCTCCCCTCTCCTCGTATACACAGCGGCTATCGATGCCTGAGAGGTTACCGATCCACCCACCTCCCAGCCCTGGGACCCCCGGTCACCTTCCTAGTGCATCAACCCCGTGGTCAGCACAGGATGATGAGATTCTGCTAGCCGCCCGAGCCCAATCCCATGGTTGGAACCAAATTCAGCGCGACAATTTCCCTACCAAATCCTCAAACGCATGCCGTAAGCGTTATGAGCGTCTAGTTGCCAAGCGTCGTGGCTCAGACTGGAATGATGAGCGAGTGGACAAAGTAGCTAGCCACTACATGCAGTTGCGGGAAAAGACGTGGCAGCCATTGGCCGATGCTGTAGGGGAGGATTGGAGAGACGTCGAAAAGTTGGTACGTAACCCCCTACCCCTGAGATGAACACAGTTCTCCACCAGCCTGCTCGCTCAAATTCATTCTCTCTCACAAGCTTCGCACATGTAAAAGTGAAGGAAGGCTAACATGTCCAATAGTGTCTTGAACGAGGTGCAAGAACCCTCCTTCCAACAGTGGGGCAGCGTGACCTAGCGCACGGCGCTTCTGAGCCAGCGAGCCGTCGTGGCAGTCATGATAGCCACGATGATGAAAAGATCAGTATACACAATCTTCTACAATAATCTGCTATCTCGTGCAATACTCTCCTTTTCATTCCTTAGCGGTCTCTTTTCTTATCCATTTCACTCGGGGGGGGTGTCTGATTTCTGCATGGCGTTTCGCTCCTCGTCCCGCTGCCTATCGTGCGTGTTTTGTTATTTTTTCCTAACTTCAAGGGTGGTTTAATTCTTGCATTATGATTTTTTGGTATAACGGTTTCCTTATGTCGACGGCCAATACCCTCTTCCATTTCATCTAAAACTTAGCGTCATATCATTGCCCTGATGGTTTCTTTCTGGGATGAATATTGGGGTTTAAACCGGAGCATGTGAAACTAGCGGTGCTTCTTTGCATATTCCCGCCTCTCCTTTGGTTTCTCTTGTTTCATCCACCTTTTTATTCATAATTGGCACATGTGGCCGAAATGTTGTCATAGTTTCTTTCCCTGTTTTGCATAGTTTTCTTGTGATATTTCTTTCTTGTACTCTTCACCGATAATATAATCATTTATGAAAAATATCTCCAAGAAGGTCGAGGATCCAGCGGGTTGGTCTGTGGAATAAAATAAAAACTGCCCCAAAGATCCCATCTCCCTGCGTTCCTGTGTTCCATAGGGTTCGAATCGGGCTTAGAGAAGGTGTTTCCAAATGGTAGAGTGAAGATGGCATCTAGCATATTCACCTCATTGTACCGTGCGTACCCAGCCCCCAGGGCCTAATATCCCACCGTCTTCAGCAGCAGGATCAAGACCCCACTTCCTTATGAACATTGACTTCCTATCAGTTTTCCAACCAGCCTCGAGCATCTCGATACCTGCCCAACCAATCATAGCTGCGTTATCTGTGCAGAGGTATAACGGGGGAGCAACGATGTCGATATGGGAGAATCCACGCACATCTAGGAATGAACGAAGGATATGTTGTAGGTATCGATTCGCCGCAACACCACCGCTAACCACAACGGTTTTAACAGGAGATGTTGCCTTCAGTCTCCCATTCTCTGCTTGATTAACTTCGTTGGAAGATGCGTTTTCCAATGCTAAGACAATCCGAGAAGCAAGGTGCTCAAAGCAAACCCTCATAAAGTCTCTAGAAAATGCAACCCGGCCTTCATGAGGGAGAAAATCAAGGTTCAAATTATCCATCTCCTCCTTGGTTTTCTTTCTCTGTTTAACCTTTCCATTTGACATGATATCGATTTGCCTTGTGGCAGCAGATAATAAACCGGCAAAAGTGAGTGCCATTGTTCTCGACTCTGGGTATGGCAGGGTTAGTGACCAGCCATATTTAGCATTCTCGATAGGCTTAGTTTCTTGTCCTCTCGACGTTGGCGGTTTGTAGTCGGCATAGTCGGCAAACCCGTTAGGAAATGCGTATGCCTCTAGCTGTTTCCCATACATGGTTGTCTTGCTCTGGTCGAGGTATGATTGCGGCAAGGCCATGCGGGCGAATTTATCTAATACGCTTCCAATTGCCATGTCGACGGTAGAAGCCAATGTCTCATGGTCTGTAAGAGACTTGGAGTGCACAAGAAAGCTATGCCCGCCGGACACGAGCGCTGATATGAATGGGAACTCGGGCTTTGGATTATATGCAGTATCACTCCCAACACCAGACGCCGCATCAAGCGCACTGGCTAGTCTTGGTGTGAGTAAATGAGCCTGCATGTGATGCACGCCGACAATTGGAATCTGCCATGCTACAGATAGCCCTTTGGCCAATTCCAATCCTACGGAAAGATTTGAGCCCATTCCAGGTCCACGGGTAACGGAAATAAAATCCGGTTTGACCTTGGTGATTGTATCTCCCTCTTCTTCGCGCACAGGTGATAGCTGAATAGTTCTAGAGACATATTGGCGCAAAGCGGTTGGTTCCTTTGGAATAGAGCCGGTAGTGGATGGTAAGTGTCGAAGTGCTTTATCGACGAGGTTCGACAAGTTCGCTTGATGCGATTCTAGTGATATGAGGGGATGGATTCCGCGGTATTCCCGACTGTCGGCGGTGATATTTTCGAGGTAGTGAATGGTTGCATTGCCTCTTGGAGTCGTGGTGGAGCATGAAACATCGCTGGTTTGGGGGCCACGTTTTTCAACAATTGCTACGGATGTATCATCGCTATTTTTAAGCAAAGTATTAGCCAGATTCATTCCAACTACCCATACCAGAGTCCCAGAGTTGGATGTTGGCCAGTTAAGAAGGATATGCTACCATGATGTTTCAATCGCTAATGTCAGAAGCTGCCTTCGACATAAAGGACGAGCGAATGTTGCTCGTCTCTGTGAGTAGAGTAATATTCGTATTGCTGGTCGAGAATAAAGTGACATCGATAGACAATGCAGTTAACCCGTCATTCACAGATGTTTCTCTTCAGGTCGTCGCATATTTATTGAACTTGACGTTGAATTTAGCGTCAACCAAGCGCTGCATCGATCGTGGCTTATCGATAGCAACTACCAACTAGAAGTAAAACGATCTATAAGGACAACAGGAGACCTTTAAATCTTTATCTCCAGTGATTACCAGGATCTATTTACAACATGCTCAAAAGTTTTACGTATATATGAGAAGTAAAACGTCAAGTCCAAAAGTGATATTTTATATGCCTTATTGGAGTAGATTAAGGAGAGAATAATAAGGACATCCTATCATAAAATTAAGTAGTTTTCCGTTTCGAGAGAAAATAACCTCCCAAGACGAAAACTAGAAGAGAAAATAAATCATAGCCTCATTAATAGCATGAATCCGTCAAATAAAAATAACCATCCCGTGCCGTTACGCTTTCGAACCGGCAAAAGCATCTCAAATGCTATGCATGCTTGCTATACGAAGATCAAAAAGAAGCCAGAGATTGCCCAATATCCCGAAAGTCTTTGCGTGGTAGCTATGTCGTCTCCAACGGCCCACAGGGGGCTGATAGTGCTACCGTTCGAAGGTTGGACAACACATGTCGTGCTGAAGTGCTATGATAGCAACGGTAGGAAGGGGAGACTTTTGGAAGACCAGTCGGGGATGAATCTGGAGGAATAGAGAGTGAGCCCAGGGTGACTTGGGTCATTTACGAGTAGCCGGCGGCGGCACGCGACCACCGTCTCTCCCGTCTATCCTCTTTGGACATGCTGGTAGAGCTGGCAGAGCTGCCGTAGTACTCTTCGGGGTTCTCTATGGCTGAGATGGGGTGGATCTCTGGCTCAGCGTTGAATCTGATTCTCTTATCGGCAAGACCCCTAGACGACGACTGTGACTTCTTGAGGATGCTTTTGGAGCTGCACGAATTGCTGTACGTCGAGTAGCATGCTTGGCTTAACCTCGAGTTGTGAGTGGCATATGCAGCTGGGCTTCGTGGTGACAGTGGCGTTCTGGGGATAGAGAGAGCGGCTGGGGATTTGAGGGCAAGGGAGGCCGTGTTGGTGGTAGCAGCAGAGATGCTCAGCGAAAGCTTTGGTTTGGCGGCGCGTGCTGCGAACATGATGACGAACAGGACGTTTCTTAGCGGGGTTTTAAGTGGGTTTATGAAGATCAAACGAGGACGATCAAAGTTGAAGGCAGAGCCGAGAAATAGAATATTTTGATGCTCAAGTCGAGGAGATACGGATGAGCGATTTCGTTGGATATAAATAACGGTTCAGCAGACAAGGACAATGGAGCGTATGGGTTTGAATTCACGTAAACGGCGAGTATAAGTTGGCACAGCCAAAAGGGGGACGATTGATGTATATATTTAGTATTTTAGGGGGGGTTGGGCAAGGGGTAAAAGATGGACGAGCGTTTGTTGAAACAACCGAAGACCAAAAAGGGACTGAATAAAAAAAGACCAGCTTTTTTTTTTGTAAGGGGGTGAGAACTGAAACACAAACGGTCGCAAGGCAAGGGCACAACAACAAAAAGGGCGAGTAATCTCGAGACAACAGGTCAAGACGAGCGGGACCCTGGTCCTATTTATGGACGCGCCGGCACCGGATTCGCCCATGCACCTGTATGCAGTCGGTGTCTTCGCCGACGGTTGATTCGTCCTCGATGGCAGACGAGAGACACCTCCATGCAGTCACACGGGCGAGGATATGGGGGACTCGGGGCCATCCTGGCAGGGCACAGCCAATTGCGGCGGCAGGACACTTGTGCCAGCGCCTGCATATATGCAGCTAAGCACCTCGAAGATGTGATGGGCACACTGCACGCCAACCTAACGAGATCAATGTTTCTGTTCCATTGGCCGGCTGGAAGGCTGAGAGGGATCAAGCCTTCTGTGAGCCGTCTGGCAAACTGCGATTGATACAAGTCGAGCCGAGTCGATCAACTTTCTCGACATTTTTATCACTTGCCAGCCAAGTATATTGACCTTCTCTAATGCCTAACTATGTGGCAGACTTCGGCACATATTCCAAGAAAGGTCTCTCTCGAAGGCTACGGAGTATATGGACAGACTACGCCTGGTGGGTGGCTGGCACCAGCGTACAGAGTATAGAAACCTGAGACCAATCACACACTTACCACGCCCCTAAGTAGCGTCTATTCGACCTTGTTTCTAGCGGCTTCCAACCGGTCTGTGACGTTCTGATATACGGCCCTCGATCCCGGCCAACATTGATGTCCCGGTACACACCAGGTGGGGTGTATAAGGTGAATATCTGCGCCACCAAGAAGTAGGAGTTGGACGATTTCAAGTTCTCCTAGCTCCATGGCTAGTTGAATAACTCTGCCGCATGAGAACGAAATCGTATCTCGTTCTGGACTCTCATCTAGGTCCCAACTCAAGTCGTGGTAACCGGTATTGACATCGGCCCCATGAGCAAGTAGTAGCCGGGTTAGATCGACACAACCTTGTTTGACTGCCCGGACGAGCGGAGGTATAAACTCCTCTGGTAGAGAGGAGATATCATAGAAAGGGCAGTTATGGGCAAAACCAGAGCCAGCAAAGTGATGCTCGGGGGGAGGTCGGTCTTCATCATTAAAATCGCACTTCGCCCCATTTTCTAAAAGGAGTTTGGCTATGGTGATATCCTGTTGATCCACCGCAAGTCCAAGAGCCTTTGTTGAAGTTGTTCGGTCAGTTTTTTTCATCAGGACCTTGATAAGTTTTTCGTTCCTTCTCTTCACAGCTGTATTTAATGCAGAGAACGTTGCATCAGCCCCCATATCAAGGAAAAGCGTTACTAAACTGAGGTTTTCGTGCTCTGTAGCCCATCCCAGCGGACTCTTCCCTCCAGTGGCACTAGTAACGAAGATATTGATATTCAAGTCCATGCCATATTCTAATAGCTGTGGGATGGCGCGGTTGTGTCCACCTAGTAACGCAGCCTCGAGTACGCTTTCTTTCTGGGTTTGGCTAGGGGCAGTGGTGTTTCTAACATTATTATCAGGGAGAGGATCCACAGGTTGAGTAACAAGCTGTTTTGCCTCTGTGAAGTGGTTGTAGAAATGAAATTTCTGTTGAGCATATTCCCAAACTAGCTCCCAGCCGTCATCCACCTCCTGGCAGTTTTCTTCGTCACTTTGCAAAGTTACAATATTCTTTGTTGTACTACTTCTTTTGGGCTGTGGCTGGTTGAATTTAAATCCGTGAAACTCTTCCGGCATTGGTATAGGAAACCCATGATGTCGAAAGTACCGCGCTACATAGTTAGGTTTAAATGAGGGCTTATACTCCCGCCGGATGACCATGTTCCAATCAACGTCGACAAAAAATGGGTGAGCTTTGATTTCAGAGACCCCGCCATTAGCTCCAAGACGGTTCTCTGGCCTGCGGTCAAGGAGCCTGATAATGAAATCCTCAGCAGTCGGGGTGATAGACTTGGGGAACTTAAGGGGCTGATCAGGGTCAAGGATTCTTCGGCGTATCTCCTCAGGATTCTCGTCATAGAATGCGGGTAGCCCCGTTAGCATTTCGTAGAGAAATATCCCCAGTGTCCACCAGTCCGCCGTCTCCGATTGTCCTTGGATGAACAATTCTGGGGCCGGATACTCTGGCATCGTATAGGTGCCATGATCCCTTAGAAAAAGGCTAAACCCGCATAAAACTATATGACCCAAGGAGTCGAGAAGGACATTTCCAGGCTTTAGCCAGGAGAATATACTGTGGGTATCATGGAGATATTCTAATGCGCAGAGAATCTCCGCGGCATAGAGTCGAGTCTTCTCTATATCAAAAACCCGTTGCTTTTGAATATAGTGAAAAAGGTGTCCACCACTAATAAACGGGGAGAGAAGGTGTAATGTCTCCTGTGAATTGAAAGCCAGTGAAAGCTGTGCGATAAATGGGTGGTTGATATCAGATTGTTGGGTAGTGGTATATAATGCTTTGGGCAGAGATGCAGACTCAATAAGATGAATGTTTTTCTTTGCGTATGTTTGGTGATCAGCCTCCTTCCCGTTGTAAAATGCATGCGGCCTCCCAATACTAGCTATATACTCAAAATCTGCCGATTTTAACGGGTTATTCTCAACATGTCGGTAGTCAAAACTAACGCGAATCCTGCCAACACCGTCTTCTACCTCTAGCCACTGCGACTTGGATGTTTCGAATCCCTCAAACGGGCTCACTCGTGCCACGCCTAGAAATATATCCTTGTCTATCGTATTCTTCCCCCCAATATAGAGGTATATCCTCAGCTCTGCAGAGTGGGAGATGTAGAGTTCGCGTTCTGCGTAGTATCCTGCCGGCCATCTAGGACCTTCACTCGTTCCAAAAAACGACTCGACCGATACTTGTAACATTTCATAGTCCAAGAGCGCATATACAAAGCCGTTCCCTCGGTACTGCGAGGGCCGAGCTTTGATACTATGGTTAGTTGGATCGCTGCCGGATATCTCATTGTAGCAATCTACCGTAGAGAAGCCGGTGACCTCGTGAAGGGTTACAGTCAAAATGCCAGGCAGGGTTGGCATTGCAGTCGATGGGATAGACGCTAAACCGTCGTGCATTTCATCCAGCGGTTTAGATAGGGAATCGCTTCCAGCTGTGCTCGAAGTCATCTCAATAACGCGGCCGTTCTCAATGAAGAATGGCAAGTCTGAGAAGCGTCTGAGCGCAGCGATATCACAGGCGGTGGCAAGGACTCATCCAAGGCAAAATTATACGATGAATCACAATACTTGTACTTGACATAGTTGATATGGAAGAAGTTGGAGTTAGCGATCGTATCTACGGAGGGTAAGACACGGAAAAATTAAGCTCTTGAAGTGGAACTCTAAACTCGTAACTAATTAACTAGTTACCGATGCGGGATCAGCGTTGGTATATCTTGTGTGGAACCTGCGCGCTTATGATGCCACGAGTTTGCCCTTATTATAGTATATGGCACTGTATATAATTAGATATATTCCTCTCACTAAAGTCGAGAAGGAATTAAAATAATGCCGTCAAGCGAATCGACCTCGACTGACTTAAGGCTTAGCACTTCTCTTGATTATCACTGGCGAAGAACGCTAGTGGGTCTCGAATGATTCGTAACCCCGTTGTGAAACTGCAAATACAGGCCGCACAAGGTCGACGCCAGACCTGAGAATATTGGGCACATTATGTCAGTCTAATCTTGGATATAGGCGTGAATACATCTACGGACGCACTTATACCTGATAAAAAATGTCTCAATCGCCCTATTCATCCCTACTTAGTAATCAGCCAATTTCCTGCTAAGGTGATTGTATAATGCTATTATTAGCTACGATTCATGGATATGATGATCTCATACTATCAAAGATCGATGTTTATCCTTTTGATATTGAACAATAACAAGCTCAAAAGAGCCAAGCTTTTGAAAATAAGGTATTACATAATCCCATACACGATCAAACCTTATATTCACGTGTTCAGGCGTCCACGTGACACACGCAAAAAGATATTATGGATTGGATTTAGGCTCAGTAAAAGGACGACGAGACTCCTCATCGATTTAATGGTGTATATATATTGCGAATATCGAATCTCTTCATAGAAGGAGCTTTGAAGTAGACCGTAGTGAGTATCCCGGTATACTCCGCATGAAGAGCTCGAAGACAGATAACCTCACGTGTGCAAGGAAGGAACCGGAGGCCCTTCAACCTATCTCAAGACAGTCCCGCTTGGACCGTGGACGACATGGGCGTTTAGCTTTTCCACCGGTCCCGCCGACATCGCGGTTTCATAGGCCGTTTTGTGGGGTGAGCATGGCTCTCGCCAGCACGGATGAGTTAAAAACGCTCCTCTTGCTGTGGTACCAGCAGCGGAGATTTATGCACGAGAATGGCCGTCATTGATCTCCCGACAGTATGTCGCTGGTGCTGTGCAAAGGACAACCAGGGGGATATATACCTGGACATGACGCCACCGTGGTGTATAAATAGCGACAGGCCTTCCATCGCAAGGAGTGGCGGATGGCTAAAAGAAAGAAGAAGAATCGCCAATTTGCTGTGTCTTGTCGTGTCTCTGTTTGATCCTACCGCCGGGAGCCGCGAAGGTAACCTGGTAAGGCATAAACAGGGGCGTTGAGATGACATGGACAGGGCGCACTTTCTCCATATATGATGCCGCTTTTACACCATCATGTTCACCTCCACGCCAGCAGTATGGCGCCATCCACTGCACAGAGGCCTGTCCAAACGTCATCGAGGGCAGTAGGACAGGCTTAAGGATAGTCCAAAGAATAGATTTAAGGGCCCTTAACGTATGAAAGGGAGGTGGCGATCGTCAAGGGCTTGGAAGGGACATTGGTACAGTTCTGGAAGTCTGAAGCGTCATTTCGACGACCTGGAGTCCTAGAAGTTGAACAGAGGACCGTATCATTCTCTACCTGAGGTCGATAGATGAAGACGCCAACGGTCAGCACCGCGGAATCACTTTGCCAGGGTCATAATCAAAGGTCATGCGTATAGCACGTCAGTTGATCTGAAGAGAGCTGCATACGGAATATACCTCTGGCTTCCGGAGTTTGTGGAGGTGCTGTGGGCAAAGCGCCGAAGACGAAGCGGCACTGGACTCGCAGGATCCCGAAGCGTGGCCTCCGCAGCTTTGTCCCAGACGTTGCTGCACCCTTGTCCCTTGCCTGCACCTTGCCTGCTCCCTTCGCTTGACATGATACGGCTCGTCCTGTCTGGCCTGGCTGCTCGTCCCGGCGTCGCTGCCGAGGTATGCGATTGGCCTCACCCACCGATCTTTATTCCCGCATGACACGTGACTAGTCCACCCGGGCCTGCCGCGAGGCACAGGAGATAGCTATCAATCGCAGAATAGTGATGTACTTGAAGGTAGGAGATATATCCTGTATCCTGTAGAATCTGCCAACCTGGAAGTGAGGCAAAAATTTCTGTCCCAAAGGCGATATATTGAAAATCTAAATAAGCTAAGAGCCAAGCCTTGACGCGACCGAAAATCGGGTAAGCTTTCCAGTTCCTGAGCAGGAGAAGAACAAATAAATTTTTTTGTCCCAGGCTTGCCATCTTGCCCCGATCGGGTCGGCGTCACATTCCTCTTCATCTCAGCTTGTCGTGTCTCCCTTATCGTGACTCTTAGAAGTCATTTTCATATTCTCTTTTAATTCTTCTTTTCCATTGCCCTTGTCTTTCAGCTTTGTGGCTGCTTTGCATGAGCTGAGCTTCTTCCAGCTTCCGTTACTTGGCAGTCTCACCAGTCGCAAGAACACCTCTTCCTCGTTTCTCTTCCTGACCTCCCACTCTCTCAGTCCAATTGCTTGCATATTAAATAGACTCCAGGATTGGCACTTCACATCATGGCGCAGAATATAAAGGAGCAGCTGGTTGGCAAGTCCACAGAGACACCAATGAGTGCGCATGTCAAAGCCCATTTTATGCAGCACGCGAGGGTAGACAGTGAATCTGGCGACCTGTATATGACAAAGGAGGACTTTATTGATGCTATTGCTCCTAAGAATGAAGACTATGTAAGTTCTCATCTGTCTGGATGCATTGGACGTTGGATTTACCACATTCGTCGTTTGCTTTAAGCATAATCCAACGACATCATTAAGCAAGACACCGGGGCTAACACGATCTTATCTGATCCTTCTATAGCACAAAATAAAACGCGAACAATACGGAATCCTCTTCAATGTTGCTGACCGAAGACATACCGGCAAGATCAACCTGCAGGACTGGTCGATGTTTGAAGACCTTCTCGGCAAACCGGACGCAGAGTACGAAATCACCTTCCGATTATTCGATACCGAAGGAACGGGCATAGTCAAGCATGAGACGCTACAGAAGCTTTTCAGCTCTACAAAGGGCGAAAACAACATTCCTTTTGACTGGAATTCAGGCTGGGCGGCGCTATACACGGGTTCGAAAAAGACGAGACATGATATGACATATCCACAATTTGCACAGATGCTACGCGGATTACAGGGAGAGAGGATAAGACAGGCGTTCCATCTTTTCGATAAGGATGGAGATGGATACATTGAGCCTGAAGACTTCCAGCGCATTATCCTGGAAACGTCTCAGCACAAGCTTTCAGATCACTTGTTGGAAAACCTGCCTACTCTCTGCAATATCTCCTCCGGCAGTAAGATATCATACGCCAACGTTCGCGCGTTCCAGAACATTATCAGAGAAATGGATATAATAGATTATATCATTCGCAGCGCCATTCGCAAAAGTGACGATGGAAAAATCACTCGATCCGATTTCCTGAACGAGGCAGCCCGCATCACGCGCTTCTCACTCTTTACGCCAATGGAGGCAGATATCCTGTTCCATTTCGCTGGTCTCGACGCACCATCCGGTAGGCTTGAGCTAGGCGATTTCGCAAAAGTCATCGACGCCTCATGGCACAGCGCCAGCGTACTGGGTAGAGAGGCATTGGCCGGCGCGTCAAAGACCGGTGAAAAGGTTGCCGTGAAGACGAATCAACTACTTCACAACATCTTGGAATCGGCTCATCATTTCGCACTCGGAAGTATTGCTGGTGCGTTCGGTGCCTTTATGGTTTACCCAATTGATCTCGTCAAGACCAGGATGCAGAACCAGAGAAGCGCGCGTGTTGGTGAGAAGATGTACATGAACTCACTTGACTGTGCTAAGAAAGTTATTCGAAACGAGGGTGTTCTCGGGTTATACTCTGGAGTTATACCACAACTGATTGGTGTTGCACCTGAGAAAGCTATCAAGCTTACTGTGAATGACTTGGTGCGAGGATACTTTGCAGATAAGGACAAGGGTGGCAAGATATGGTGGCCTCATGAAGTCATTGCGGGTGGTACTGCAGGTGCCTGTCAAGTTGTATGTACAGCATTGCTCTGAGGATTAAGTTGCGCGTGTCTTTACTAACTGCCTCGTTTAGGTCTTTACCAACCCCCTGGAGATCGTCAAGATCCGTCTTCAAATCCAGGGAGAGATCGCAAAGAATGTCAACGAGGCTGCTCCACGCAGGTCTGCAATGTGGATCGTGAAGAATTTGGGTCTTATGGGCTTGTACAAGGGAGCCAGCGCTTGTTTACTCCGTGATGGTAAGTTCGGCATCGCAAACCTCGGAATTTTTACATAACATGTTTTCCACTAACGCCATATCTATAGTCCCCTTCTCGGCTATCTATTTCCCAACTTACTCCCACTTGAAGACGGGCCTCTTCGGTGAATCTCCTACCAAAAAGCTCGGTGTTATCCAGCTTTTGACTGCGGGAGCCATCGCCGGTATGCCAGCCGCCTACCTCACCACCCCATGTGACGTGATCAAAACCCGTCTCCAAGTCGAAGCCCGAAAGGGAGAAACGAAATACACCTCTCTCCGCCACTGTGCCGCCACCATCATGAAAGAGGAAGGATTTAAAGCCTTCTTCAAGGGTGGCCCAGCCCGTATTCTCCGTTCCTCCCCCCAATTCGGTTTCACCCTCGCTGCTTATGAAGTGCTACAGAAATGGATGCCAATGCCAGGCACTGAGCATGAAGAGGTGACGCCAACCGGCTACGTAGAGCCTGGAGCGGGTCTGCAGTCGGCTTCCGGGCCAATGCCATACCTTCGATCGCGTAATGCGTTGAAACTTATCTTGGACTTGGAGCCAAACTTCGGTCGCCTGCAGGCCCCGGCGGGCGTTACCTTGCCGGTGCTGAGCAAGTAAACGTATCTCCTCGAATTTTCTGACGAATCATGATAATTAATTTTCCAATTCAACCTCAACCTCAACCTTGGCCCTTTTTCAAGAAGTGAAGTGCAAATCTAAGACCCCGATACCACTCCACCTCCATCTAAACATCTGGATTTATTCTCTGGATCTCTCCATTGTTTCCTCCCTCTGGCAGCTTGGTTGATTCTCCCCGATTGAGCGCATATTGATCATTTTGATCCATTCACACTTGTACTTTCTGCGATGCGTTCTTGGGAATTTTCGTCTCTTTGGGAGGGATCTGCTGCATTTTACATTCTTGCGACTTGGTTTCCTACCTTGCTTTGGCCTTGAATTCCACATCGCCTAAGGAGAGACAGCACTAATCAGCTCACTTTTTGTATTCCTCTTTTCTTTTGTTTTTGACCTTTTGCATCCGCATTTTCTTCTGACTTTTTCGTTGTGTTCAAAGTGTACTTTCTTCCTCCGTGGGGATAGACGGTAAAAGATAGACCATACAGGGGGATTTATAGATTTAGATTACCTCTTTGCAATAAAGGCATCTTTCTTAACTAGCCCGGGTTCCACTGGCAGGGATGGGCAGGACCAAAAAGTAGTACGGGGGAAAGATTATCGACAGCAACAGAGAACATCGTCCAGGAAGGCTTGTGAAAATCAAGGTGAACAGGTGTTTAACTCTTGAGCTAGAACGGTTACAGGAAACTTCTTTTTTGATTAACGAAAACGAACTCGACCATCCTTGTGGCTGCTCCCACTAGCGGCTCTATCCTGATCGTTTAAGTGGACTACGGCGCCTAATCTCACGGATGGCCCCTCAGCTCCCACCAGATATGTTCACGCTCAAGATATGGATGCCAAACCGGAAGCCGACGTTATTTGGTGGGATGTTGACACCTTTCGCGTAAGATGCCCACATTGCGAAGGGGTTCATGACCATCATCATGTCAACTGGAATGGGGCCCAGACACGAGTTCCACATTGCGGCCACCCTGAATCCTACTTATGCTGTTTCCCAATCAACGATGAGGGCCAGGTCGCTTATGAAATCGACAAGAAACAAGCGCGATATGTGAATATATGCTATAGTAGGGATGATATAGATGAACTAGACTCACTGTCGCATGAGTTTGCCTCTAGAGCCAAAGTCACTGTCGATGACGAAAACGATCTAAGCTTCGACAGAGACTCTGAGGAAATGACAACCATTACAGGATATGACTCGGAGTTGTATGAAGAAAAAGCCATTCATGTTACCATTGCAGATTGCAAGGACGGAAATACCGAAGAGGTTCGAGAGTATCTCGAGTGTTCCCCTGAAGCCCAGCTTTTCCTTCACGGGCGTGACGATGAAGGCAATACTACCCTAACCTATGCGGCGATGAGAAAAAGCTCAAGTATGGTATCTCTACTCTTGGAGCACGGTGCTAGTGTGAATGCGGTCAATCACAGAGGGAGGAGTCCGCTCATGGAAGCAGCGCTATGGGGTAGACTCGACAATGCAAAACTTCTCCTGGAAAACGCCGCGGACAAAAACTTGCGAGATGATGGAAACCGGCTTGCGGTCGACCTTGCTCGGCCTACCCAAAGAAATCGACGAGATATATATGAACGAATTGGGGGGTACACATCGCTTTATTCTAAAAAAGAGCTGCAGCGCCCAGAGGACACCTTCAAAAGAGACTTTGATCGCCGAAGCATTGTACGCCTCCTTGGTGGAGAGGACAGGAAGTCCAAGAATATATTTGGCACCCCTCCAATATTATCGCAATACAGGGATTACTTTTTCAAAAAATCACCAATGGAGGGTTCAATCATATTACATGGCCCTGTTACAACTTATCCAGTGGCATCGAGATCAAAAACAGTCGCGCGTCTAGAGAGGGGCGGTAAATTTGAATCTATTGTAGCTATGAGTGGATGGTCGCATGGTCAATGGCTACCAGCCAGTGTTAGCGGCCGACAGTGGACAGATGAGGTTCTCAACATTTCTTGTCTTGTTGATCATACCCCCGCTTGTGATAGCGACCGCGATCAAAACTGTCCGGGTCAATACAACGCTTGCCATGCCGAAAAGCAGTTAATTGCATACTTTATTGATCGTCACGTTTTTCTCAGCCGCGATAGCGAGCCAGATTCCAAACTTGAAGAAGATATTGAATCTGTGGGAAAGCAATTGAAGAGACTGAGCGGAGGGTCGGAAGGCCAACAAATACTCAATTTAGAAAGTCAATTGAAAGATCTAAAACAGCAGCAAGCCAATCGTGAAAAGCTTGCCAGAATGTCCAAAGCACCACCACCGGCCTCCCTATCTGAAGCGGTTATACTCATCAGTTCCCCGGTTTGTGCCGATTGCTTACAGTTCAAAAACAAAGTCAATCAAAAACTTAAGCTATCGCTGCAATTATTTGCCGCATGTTAATCCATGATGGCTTCTGTGCTAAGATATGTTTTGTCTCTCTATGCCTACAGCAGCATTGGTCTTTTGAAGTGGAGTATCTTTGCTAAGGTGTATGATACATGGCTTCTAGCTAAGGATTGGAGACGCGCTCATTAATATAACAGTTCGGTTCAATAATGGATAAGTCAATAATCGGGTCTATACCAGCATTGCAAGCTACTGTATGGAGTATACGGAGTAGATAAATCATCTACCAAATCTCACCTATAGGCGGGATAAAATGCTGGCCGTCCTACTTTAGAAACTGCGAACACAACTTCACTGTAGCCAGGCCGTACCACTAGATGGTTGTCCATTACTACGAACGATCAAATTAAAGAGCGCCGATCGCCATCAACTTTGGGAAAGGAGTCCGGGGAGACTTTATCCAAAAGACGGGAATACGGAGAATTAGCACCCGCCAAGCGCTTTCTCAGCCATCACTGATATCAAGATCTTGAATGCGGCCACTCAGGTCCTCAGGGCCTCGGTCCTCTGGCCCGACGAAGCAATAGTCTCGGGTCTGATGGATGCTGTCTCATGTGTTCACCTAAGCCATGCGACACTTCAGGCGAACTGGATAAATTCTATCCAGTAAACCGTTATATATCTGGACGCCCACCTTGCTCTTCAAAGAGATGGCAGTTGGCGTTTGATTTGCGGACTGTTATGACCTTCGATCGATATCTGGAAGAAGCTATAGCTCTCACTGAAAGTTACACATCCCTCCATATGCTAAAATGCCGTACGAAGACGTCAATAGCGCCCAGAAACTCCTTGTCCTAACATGGACACTCCTCGCTATTTCATCTCTCATCACGTTTGCTAGAATTTACACTCGCATACGGCTTATCAAGGCACTCGGTTGGGACGATGGCTTCATGGTTCTCGCTCTAGTAAGCCCCCCTGCCCCCTAACAATATGTGATGAACAACCGCTTAGACCCTCATCTATCAAGGCATGCTCTGCGGTCAACTCAGGCTTGATCACCGCTAGTATCTCGTACGGTACTGGGCGCCACCATGTTTTCCTTACTGACGCGGAGAGGACTCAGGCGGATAAATTTAACTGGCTTTTCCAGTCCTTCCATATAATGTCCACGAATTGGGCTAAAGTCTCGATTGTGTTTTTCCTTCTACGCCTTATTCAAAAAGCAAAACATCAGGCACCTTACTTTTATAGTGGTATGATCTTGCTTACGATTAGCAACGTTGTTTGCGTATATACGATATTTGGTCAATGCATGCCTGTTGTGTCTCTCTGGGACCATAGTGTCAAAGGGAAATGCTGGGACCCAAGAATCCAGAGGAATTATGCATTCTTCCAAGGAGGTCAGCCAACCCTGCAATCTATAATATATAGACCAGTCTAACATTACTCTTCAGCTATCTCCGCGTTCTCGGATCTAGCACTCGCTGTGTATCCTATGCACTTAGTTTCAAAACTCCACATGCCAGTACGATTGAAACTCGCTCTCGGATCAATCCTCGCGCTTGGTATAATGTAAGTCCACCCATGCTTATTAGCAATCTTGCAAGTGCTAACTTTTCAGTGCAATGGGTGCTGCAATTGTAAAAACAATTTTCCTCGCTCGCCTTTCCGCCCGTGCCGACTACTCCTGGAATACTATTGACCTTGTCGTTTGGGCGTGTATTGAGCAATATCTAATTATCATCGCGGCATGCATTCCAACCCTTGGGCCACTCGTTAAAGTTATTCTTCATGAGGCCTTGTCTTCCGGACAAAATTCTGCAGGACAGGCGTCACACTCCTGGCGATGCACCCTAAGCCGAAAACCGCGTCCAGCATACGACATCGCCCCACCAAAAGTGGGCATAGATACTCTAGTAGCAGAGGAGAATATGGGGTTGAATGGAGGGCAGTCAAAGATAGAGTCAGACTCTTACCCACTTCCCATGGGTAATAGAGAAGAGAGTGGTACTCAGAGTCAGGAGAATATGGCGCGCAAAGCAGAGAGCGGATGAAGTGGTACTTATAAAGCCAGTGAAGTGCATATCAAAGTTCAAGATATAGGAGCTTTCAAGTCACATCATGGGGGCTGAGGCAAGGAGCAGCTGTACGAATCCAATTATTTAGTGGCAATTATTTAGTGGGAGGAGAGCCAGGGCATCCAAAACGAACACTCTATCCAACATCATGAAGTTCACATATTGAATATGGGACTAAGGCTTAGTTAGCCAAATTGAATGTTCATTCAATTTCTAGTGATGCGTACCTGCTGTGGTATCACTTAATATAGTACTCCCTACCGGCCCCAGCCAAGGTGGTGTCCCATGAGAGGTTGAAGCTTTCTTGATACGACACCTTGGAAGAGGTAGCTAGCGGCAACCATGATATCTTAATATCGACGGCCCTAGGTTCCAGTTTGAAAATATATTTGGCTGGATCTTCTCGCCAGTGCCTTGTTGGGTAGTATGCACTTTCGCCTTGCGTATATGCAGAGTCTCAAGCAGAATCTGCATATATTCATGCCTCTCAAGTGCTGCCTTTCGTGATTGGGTGCTCATTTGGTATCCTAGTCTGACCTTTGCCCGAATGTCGTGTTAACTAGGTAGATTAAGGGAACATCCGTTCCCCGATGGTTCACGTGAGAGCTTGATATTCAAGAGATAGCCAGGTTTAAAATCGAGCGTCAGGAGTCATAAAAAGAAAGTGACCGGCCAGAAATATATGTGGTGAGGTGTTAAAATCAAAGGGCCCAATTGACTGAAAGAACTCTCGATGAGCTGCCTCCCACCGGAAGTCGATATATTGGGGGATAACTAGGCCGTATGCAAAAATATTCAGGCGTGAGATAGATCCGGAGAGCTTTTGCACTGCAACGATCCCCGTTTGTTTCGCACTCCATGCAGCATTCGTAAAGTTAGCGAAGGTAGCAATGCATTCTGCAGCCATGTACGGAGTAAGCAAACTGCAACTGCGAGGCGAGAGGAGGGGAAGCCGGTGTAACGCTATGAGAGACGAATATATACCCCCGGGACTGCGTATACCAAACAATCCTATTCCAAACCTATACCCGGTCTGAACTCAGCCATTAATACAGCTGATTCACCCTTGTTTCTTCCTTGAGCCACTCAAGAGAGTCTCAGGCAAAGGATAGGTTAAATACTTGCACCAATATGTCTTCTGAAGAACCCTCATATGATGCTCTGATCGTGGGGGCTGGGTTCTCTGGCATCTTCCTCTTGCACCACCTCAGGAAAATCGGCCTGAAATGCAAAATATATGAAGCTGGCACGGGTTTAGGAGGAACCTGGCATTGGCATACATATCCAGGTGCGAATTTATCCTTCCGTATCCAGGTCACCGCTCGGTGCAGAGTATACTGACGTCGGCTATACGATAGGACTGTGTGTTGACTCCGAGGTCCCCGTCTACGAATACTCTGCGCCTGAGCTGTGGTCCGGCTGGACATGGACAGAGAGATACCCTAGCGGACAGGAGATCCTTAGATATTTCGACCATGTTGATCAGGTGTGGGACATCAAAAAGGACGTGGAGTTTGGTGTCAAAGTCATCGGCGCCCAGTTTAACGTACAGAACAACAACTGGGATATCAAAACTGAAGATGGACGAACCACGCATAGCCGATTCTTTCTCGTTGCAGCGGGATTCTGGGCTAAACGATATATCCCAGACTTTAAGGGACTAGATACTTTCCAAGGGAAAATCTGTCACTCCGCGTCCTGGCCCCGGGAAGGTATCGATACTAAAGGAAAGCGCACAGCGATAATTGGAACTGGCGCTACGGGAGTACAGTTGACGCAAGCATTGGCAAAGGAATCCAGTAGCTTGACCGTATTCCAGAGAACTCCAAACCTGGCACTGCCCATGCGCCAGGGGAAGCTGACGCGTGAAGAGCAAGAAGCTCGAAAACCAGCGTATCAGAAATTCTTTCAGAATCGAGAGACTACTTTTTCCGGCATGAGGTATGGGTTTTCGAATAGAATTGCCGTGAGTGAATCCGAGGAAGAGCGGGAGGCACTATTCGAGACCCTATGGCAAAATGGAGGATTCGAGTTCTGGTTAGGAACCTATCAAGACATTCTTTTCGACCCCAAGGCAAACCGTTACGCATATGATTTCTGGGCAAAGAAGACACGAGCAAGGATGACTGATACCCGAAAGAAAGACATCGTCGCACCGTTGGATCCGCCCCACGCATTTGGAACAAAGCGGCCATCCCTCGAGGAGGACTATTATGAGATGTTTAATCAACCTAATGTGAACGTCGTCGACCTCAGGAAGAACCCTATCGTTGAAATTAAACCAGACGGAATTCTTGTTAGTGACGGCACTTTCTACCCACTGGACGTGATAGCCCTTGCTACGGGGTGTGACGCTGTCAGCGGAAGCATGACAAACATGGGCCTTCGTGACATTGACGGCAAGCCTCTCGAAGAAGCCTGGAAGGACGGGGCACACACCTACCTCGGTATGTGCATCAAGGGCTATCCGAACATGTTTTATCTATACGCCACCCACGGCCCAACTGCGTTCAGCAACGGCCCGTCAGCGATCGAAATCCAAGGACGGTGGATTGTAGAAGTAATCAAGAAAATCCAGAAAAACGGGTGGAAGTACGTGCACCCAACTAGTGAGGCACAGGAGATATGGAAGGAGAAAGTCAACGCGGTGTCAAACATCACCCTCCTCCCACAAACAGACTCTTGGTATATGGGTGCCAATATCCCTGGTAAGAAACGTGAGCAGCTCAATTATGCCGGAGGGCTTAAGCGATATGAGGTGGAAAGTCAAGATGCACTGAAGGCGTGGGATGGTTTTGTGGTAGCTTAGCTCGGTCAGACTTCATTTTTCGGCTTGTTGTGTGTATCTGGAGGTTGGAAAGGTTCAAAATTTCAAGAATTCAGGGGTTAACAACTACAAATAAGGTTGATCCACTAAAGCTTAACTATACTATCGTCGATGCCCTGGAATAAATATGATCTGATAAAGCTCGCTTCATGAATAAGAATGTATTCTAAGGTGATGGGGTTGGCTAACAAGTAATTGAAAAATTTCTTACTCTCAAACTATATAAGCTGCAATACTGGATAGCCAAAAATTTGCTGGCTTGTTTCCTCCCAGGCAACTATTATCTATGTAGAATTGTATGGCCCGTGGACCATTTAAATTTCACAGCAACCCATAAGATGCGCTGGTCAGAGTGGCTCAATGTAATCAATCAAAGTATTATCGTTAAGGTCTTGTCATCATTTAGGAACTCGGCTTCTTTGAAAAGTCTGCTTCCATAGGGAGATAATGTACTCTGTATGTCATGTTTCATTAGATATTCTCCTGAATACTCCGTGCCTTTATATCGGTTTATAATATACTAGATTATAAAGAGTGAAACCTGATATCAAGAACTGGGAATATCAATCTTCATGAACAAGTTGAGCTATCCCTTATCACCATGTCAATCCCATTGCTAACGCCCAGCCGCTGAATGCAAAGTATATCACGACAAGCAAACCTATAGCCATCTTATATATCAGTTAGATAAATAATAATAAATGGAATGGACGATCCATCGAAGTTGCTGAAGAATGCAGGTCACGGGACCTCCCAAGGAAGCCCGGAAGATCGATTATCCGCGGAAGCACGTGAAAAGCTTGAGTTCCTGGTCAAACTTGTGAAGCTTGTGCAAAAAGAGCCAGGACGGCGTTGATGCAAGGGGAAAAGCTTCGAAGGCCCCCTGAATCGCCCTCGTCTGTTCGGCTTGGACACTGTGAACGCGGAAATTTAGCTTGCTGAAGAGCGAGGTAGCCAGCGGTGGGCATCGTCGTGCCTGATGGTTAATTCATTTTCAGATTAAGCTAATAAGACTACGATATAGGGGCCGATTTGCATGATCTCATCACCTGCCGGAGCTCGTGTCTCATCCCGCCTGAACCACCTCTAGCGATATTGGGCGCTATATACTCCGTACTAGCTCGTCTCTTCTCTTATTTGGTTTCAGTGTTGGCGATCCTCGATTTTACCCCCCGAAGTGCCTTCCGGTGACGCCGCTATTATAAACGCTGCGGGCAAGCGTACGTCGGTGTTCCTTGCGGATTCATCCCCGGCTCTCCGTTAACCGTCAATGTCGTACCTTGTTACTCGGATAAATATTTTGCGTTGGGATTTCGATATCATCTCATCGTAGTGGTGGATGGAATATTAATCTATAATGACCTCCTTGCCATCCGATAACGATAAGACCAAGGGGAATGGGGACCAACCAGTGATAGAGGACAGAGGACCAGAAGCTGGGAAGGTTAGCCTTGGGGATACCGGAAAATGTGGGGAGGAGAACAACGGGAAGGTGCAGGAAAGGGCTCCATCGAACGCCGTGAGCCTCAACGAAGAGTTGGACGATTTTGGCCTGCCAATCCGACCCAGAAAGTCAACCCTATCATTAAGAAATGCGCCAACACAAGGCGTAGCTCCCGAGAGCCCTAATGGGACGAATACACCCTGCAGTTCCGAGGTGCGAAAGCCCATGACCCGATCTGTATCCGCTCCTCTCGAGGTGCTTGAAAAGAGAACAAAAGAGCGAGCAATCAAGGAGCCCATATCCGGTTCTAGTTCGCCAGGAACAAAGGATGGAGCTCTCCCCACCATACTCGATAAAGCGGAAGAAGACAGTAGCAATGTCTCAAAAGTAGCTCACGACGCGCATACTAAAGATGTATCAGCGTGGTCGCACCAGACGATAGCAACAAAAGATGATTCTGACGAGGAAAAAGAGGACGACACATGGCATGCCATGCCGGCCCTGGGAGAATTTGATGTATATGACGACTACGGTAGAATAGTAGCCCGCGGTGCTAAAGATGAGGACGACGACGCGGCCTATCAAGGACTTGGGGGAGCCGGGAAGGGGTATACCAGGGTTCAGATCGATGAAGATGCACAATCCGCCACGAGTTTGGACGAAAACACAAGTTACCTGTTCAAAGAACCACAAAGTAATGCACTTGGCGTTGAGGACGATGATATGCGAGATCCAACTTCTCAGCTAGAAGCGACGAAAGACATTTTAACTGAGGGTCAGCGAATTGCCTACGTCGGAGCTACAAGGTTGACTATTTTCCAAATGGTCAAAGAGGTGGAATCATATCAGTCACCATCGAAAACCACGCGCAAGTTTTTAAGCACTGCGGTGGATTCGATGAGCAAATGGGGCCAACAGATAATGATCCGCCTTTACGGGCATATGGATATCAACTCTGACGAACAGGTCATGATCGAACAGCTGGCTGAACATGGGGTCCGACCAGAGGACCTTGTTCCTCCACTGATGCGAAATGCTCGTGTCAAGAACCCTCTCACCAGAGATTCTGTGTTTAGTTCCAAAGTATCTGTTGATGAACCTCAACCTGATATGGACAAGTCATCTAAGGTCCCCGAGGAGCCATCGCGCTCACCCACGCCCCCACCACCCTACGAACCTAACGACAGTAATGACGTCCCTGAAATACAATCGCCTTCCGAACTTCAACTATCTAAAAACGTTGATATAGATCTTCGCTGGACTGTGTTATGTGACCTGTTTCTCGTTCTTATTGCAGATGCAACTTATGACGCCAGGTCACGGAAGCTACTTGAACTGGTTGGAGAATCTATGAACATTTCCTGGAACCAAATCTGTCGATTCGAAAAGCGCATTATCGATGCTTTAGAGATGCAGCAAGAAGCTAGCAAGGAGACATGGGATGAAGCACAGCATCTGGAATCAAGAAGGAAGGCCGCTTTGAAGCAACGATATTTGATCATGGGGTTAGCAACAGTTGGAGGAGGCCTAGTAATAGGCCTCTCGGCTGGCCTCCTTGCGCCTGTGATTGGGGCTGGTCTTGCTGCTGGTTTTACTACTATCGGAGTCAGTGGAACTAGTGCTTTCCTTGGTGGTGTTGGAGGGACTGCCCTTATAACTTCTGGAGCAACCGTTGCGGGAAGCACTATAGGAATCAAAGCCTCCGAGAGAAGGACAGGTGCTGTTAAAACGTTCGAGTATCGACCATTACATAATAATAAGCGCCTTAACCTCATTGTTACCGTTTCTGGGTGGATGAATGGCAAAATTGATGACATTCGACTGCCGTTCAGTACAGTGGATCCTATCATGGGAGACATTTATTCAGTTCTGTGGGAACCTGAGATGTTGCAAAGTACTGGTCAGACTATCAATATTCTTGCTACTGAAGTATGTTGCCAGTTTCCCTCTGATTTATATAATGGACAATTTTTACTAACGGATATATACAGGCTTTGACACAAGGTCTTCAGCAAGTCCTGGGAGCTACAATTCTTACTGCCTTGATGGCATCGTTGCAACTTCCTATTGTTCTCACGAAGCTATCGTACCTGATCGATAATCCGTGGAATGTCTCCCTTGCCCGTGCTAATGCTGCTGGGCTCATCTTGGCCGACTCCTTAATAAACAGAAACCTGGGAAACCGGCCTGTCACACTGCTTGGATTCTCACTCGGATCACGCCTAATTTTTTCATGCCTAAAAGAACTTGCGAATAAAGGTGCATTTGGACTGGTTCAAAACGTTTACTTATTTGGCTCTCCAGTTGTCGTATCCAAGGATGACTATACCAAAGCTCGAAGTATTGTCTCAGGGAGGTTTGTGAACGGCTATTCATCTAACGACTGGATTCTTGGCTACCTTTTCCGAGCAACCAGTGGTGGAATTATGCGCGTTGCCGGACTTGCTCCGGTCGAGGGCATCCCTGGAATCGAGAATGTGAATGTCACACACCTAGTCGGTGGCCATATGGCGTACCGTACTACCATGCCTAGACTCCTTCGAGAAGTAGGCTGGGATGTAGAAAGTGACGAATTTACAGAAATCGAGGACCCGGATCCAGAGAAACATGAGGCGCGACAACGTGAGTTAATGCGTGAAATAGATGAAGCTCGCAAACAAGCTGAGTTAAAACCTGATAAGAAGAGGTTTGGTTTCTTTAAAAGCGGAAAGCTTGCCCAGAAGAAACGCTGGGAGACCTATGACGTTGATAAGAATGCAAAGGATTCTAACTCATCTGGGAAAAGTGGTGACGCTGATGGTTCCGTGCTCTTCGATATTGATGCAATCAGGGCCGAGCTAGCTGGCGAACACATCGAGGTTAAGCAGTTGGAGTCTACTCTACCTCCTATTAACCTTGATCTGAACAATGTGCCGCCTACCCCTGCGAACACGCAAACAGACTCGACCCCTACGCCGACAACGGCACCCATAAAAGGCAAAGATGAAGATTTAAAGTCACCTACCACGCCAATTTCTTCCCCCAAGGGTGGCAATGAGTCGTCAACTAGTTTGAAGGATGATAGCCTACAAAGGAACACCACTCATTCATGGCCAGTTCAAGAAGAGGAAATTGAAATGACATTTGATACCTCCTACCACTCCCCGATCACCTCGCCATCTCATAACTTCGGAACCGATTCTCCAATCCTCCCTTCAATATCCTCGCCTGACAGCCACCGTGGAATATCGGATATCAACCTTTCTCATAATGCCTGGGCCGACCAACATGAAGACTACAACGAACCAAACATAAAGACGACGTTTCAATGAAACCTGGGCCCTCTTTTTATAGGCCTCCCTTTCACGTATTCATCTTACCTTACATTCTTGTTTCTATTTTTTTCTAATCCATAAACCACTTTTTGTATCTAATTAAATGCCAATTAATGAATGCATGTTCTATGCCAACAAAACCTCTGACTCCACGCTGGAACGGCATTATGTATAAATAGGAACTAGAAGTACATGAATAAACTCCTATCCTGTGCTACTCTTCACACTCGATCGTCCATATTACAATATAATATCCTTGTAGTGACTGGCGACGTTGGACTTGGCGCTTGTTGTTCCTCCCGCGCTCCACAAGCTAGTTTTGTTATCCTCCACCAGCAACCGGACGCGAAGTCCCAGCAACCACCGTTCAGACAGCTTTCGAGGAGCCACGGAACACTCCAAACTTACCAATCTCACTCGCTCCCTATCGGTAGCCAAGAGAGAGATGGTTTACCCATCCAAGCCGGACCCTAGCTTCGCATCGACCAGGTTAACGCGCAACGGCCATAAAGGAGGGCCGCCCTTAAGCCAGGTCGGGGGCAGACCAACTCGAAAGGCCACCAAGAGAGCTGCGGAGGACCCTTACTCGTCGGATGATTCGTTAAAAGAGACAGGTCGAGCTACGAAACGAAAATTTGAACCGGCCATCGACGATGCGCCTCTTGGTTCTAGCGACGATGACGATTCGAGCGCGAAGAGTGAGATGTCGGCAATTAATGAGCCGATGAGAAGAACTACCTGGTCATCCAAAGACCTGAGTTACGTTTTAAAGGAAGCGGATAAGGCAGCGGGCGAGTTAAAGGAAGCAGATAATGCTGCAGGCGATTTAAAGAAAGCGGATAAGGCAGCGGGCGGTTCGCCGAAGGAACGAAGGACATCGTTGCCGTCAACGAGGCAATCGAGGAATACAGCCAGAAAACCGAATGGAAAACGCGGGCCGTCCATCCGTCGACCCACGGAACACCCCAATACTAAACCTGCTGCTGAGGAGACCGACCTGTTCTCTAGAATGGCATGCCCGAAGCCCAGGAGGAAACAAGCCTGCTACGGGAGCAGTGCCAAAGCCGGTTACAAGAATATCCACGGTTCAGCGCCCCTAAAGACAGAAACAGCACGCACATCCTCAAGTGAACCCGATGATGGTCCCGCCAAAGCTTCCGCCAGTAAAGGCCCTCAATTCAAGAACCCGGCCATATTTATGGAAGCATACTCAAATACTTCTATACCAGCCTCTTCTCGCGAACACGAGGCTGATGTAGTAGAATTCAGCGATGAGTTCGAAGCGGCGTCCCCATTAAGTTCGATCTCATCTACATTCTCAGTAGACATCCCCGCGCACGTACAAGAGGAGATGGACCGTCGCAAAACAACAGTCACACTGTGCCCTGTGTGCGAGTTACCTGTGGACAAAGAATTGCTCAAGTCTTTCAAATCAATTGAAAAAATGGGCCAGCAATCTCGATTCTGCCTTCTGCATAGAAAGAAAACTGCAGAAGAACAGTGGCACGAGAGGCATTATCCGACGATAGACTGGGAATCGTTCAAGGAACGAATTGAGAGCCATTTTGCAGGACTGGAAGATATGCTATCTTCTGGGAATGACTCCTTCTATAGGAAGTCATTGCGGTCATCTGCGCGCGACCGGAAAAAGCAAGGCAATCTCCGGCTTACTATTACCAGTTCGGAATTGGAGAAGATTTCAACAGGCTATTATGGAGCGCGGGGCGCAAGAAATATGTAAGGATGGAACATCTCCTTCCGATTTTCAGTTGGCATAACTGCCCGTACTAACTGACTTCTCTAGGATGGAAGCTATCATCGCCCGCTTCGCGCCAAAAATGCGAGAACTAGCTCTATCAGATCCCCTGATACAGGCGGCCGGCGTCTCCGGCTACATTCAAGCTGTGCTTGTTCCGGAATTGACAACAATGCTAGTTAAGGAGGATATGAATGTCGACGATGAGGGAGCCAGAGATATCATCAAAAGTAGCATGGAGATCGGCGATCTCCTGAACGAACAACCTGATGACGTGGTAGAGGTAAAGGATGAAGACCTGAATATCGATTTCGCTGATGCAAGATAGCCTCTCTGTTGATCAATTGGAGAGAATGTTTTGTCCATTTTTACACGTTTATTCATAGCATACGGAGTTACTGGCGGCTATTCGGTCGAATTGGAATGATAACATTTAGCGGGGGGTTCTGTACTTTATAGTATTGTGATGTGAATATTGTTCGTCTTATTTATACTTGTTTAAGCATCCATGGCTTTCAACATCGTCTTCTTCCACTGCGGGCCATCCTTCAGCTATCTGCTAGAAACCCCACCTCTTACGAAGCGGATGTCTTCCTGTCTCTGTAAGCCAGGCCGAACGCAACCAATCCATAAGTCGCTAGAACACTCAAGCCTACAGGCAGAGGCTTTCCTCCGGTTTTAATGACCCTTGGAATCGAGCTACCTCCTAGAACGGCGGAGGCGAGAAGGCCAATCTCTTCTCCGTAGGGCTGGTGGCCTTGGAGACGGAAGTAGCTTACGGCGTAGAGCGCACCGATTGTGAGTCCAGCTGCAATAGACGGGATGGATCCTGTACGGGCATATCCGATAATACCACCGCAGGAGGTCAGGATGGAGAGGGCAGCAGCCGAGTAGCTAGTATTGGAGCTCTGGACAACGGCGATGTTAGAAGAGTAAACAAAGCAACGGATATTGCGCTTTAGGGTTTTACCATCGTTGGATATGTAGAAAGTGCTTGAATAAGTGTATCTGCAATTTGAGCGACTTGTCAATCCTGTGGTTTTCTACCGGCAGGTCTTATATCGTCTCTTGAAGATTGCTTTGATGAACTGATGTCCGTCCTGCTCTCTTTTTTAATATATAACTATCCATATCACGTGATAGGTTAACGACGGCGTCTCCAGCTCCTCCGACCTTCGGGTTTTTTTTATACAGCTCGACACAATTCTAGAGATGCTTCGAAGTCTGCTGAATCGAAATACGAAATACTATGCAGATTTGGATTTAGCGAAGAATCAAATTAGAAGGTGTTTGTCCACTCAAAAGAATATCCCTTTATTCAAGCAAAGTTCGAACGGAAGTTGTAGGCGCTCCCACATGCATATATATACCTATTTCTGATGATTGCTAATAATCTCTAGATGAACCGATCACGGAAGAGGATTTGTTCAGATACACTCGGCACCGATGGCTGTAAGGCGAAGCTTTTCCTTGTGGCTTGGGTTTACCGTCATGTATTCACCATGTTGATAGGTTCAATGAGCAGAGTGAGTTGTCACGCCGATATTTACGATTCAATGTTCAAGAACTTGCCAAAGCTGCCCTAGGGGCTGTAGGGAACGGAGCTCGGGCCTGTACGGTTATACCATATCCTTTTGAAACCAATCTTGAATCCGCGATACTGACATGGTTAAGCCTAGGTATCAAGGTTGTGAAGTGCGTTGAGGGCCTTCATAATAAAGCCTTAATACTTACTATGGATAACGGGAGCGAGGTTTTTGCGAAACTCCCAAATCCAAACGCTGGCCCTGCTCATTATAGTACTGCCTCTGAGGTTGCAACCAGACAGTTTGTAGGTTTCATTTATACCACTCCCCAACTACATACTTGGTTCACTCTCTCATATGGAACTTACAGCTTCGTGACGTGGCCAAATTACCAGTCCCCCGCGTGCTTGCATGGTCTTCTGACCCAAAGAATCCAGTCGAGGCTGAGTACATAATTGAAGAAAAGGCTCCTGGTGTGAGCCTCGGGAATCTCTGGCATCAATGGCCGCGAAAATCGAAAGTCAATGTCATAAAACAGATTGCAGATATGGATAATGTGCTCTCACAGTTTGAATTCCGCGGTCACGGGTCCATTTATTTCAAGAAAGACTTACGGGCCTCGCATGTCTCAAAAGATGACGGCATCCTGGTCAACCCATTGCAAGCACCAGAAGATGATACAAAATGTTTGGGCTTGGCCCTGTTACTTCTGCCGAACTTTGGAAGAACGGCCGTGACGATATGGACTTAGACAGAGGCCCTTGTATGTTCCGCTTTACCTTCTTCCCACCCGTACTTATAAATATATAACTAAGCTGAGTGACTAAAGGGCTGGATTCTCTTGAATATGCTCACGCAATGGTGAAGAATGAAACGAAGTGGATCCATACTCACGCGAATCCTCGAATGAATTACTGTCGGTCAATGAAGGAACCCGAGCTTCCCGATGATGCTATCTCGTTACTTTCGAGGTACATTAAAGTTGCGCCTTATCTGATTCCGCAAGAAAATGAAGGAAAGGCGAACGTTTTGTGGCATCCTGACTTGCATCTAGACAACATTTTTGTTGACCCCACAACATGTAAAATCACCTGCATAGTTGACTGGCAAGGCGCAGTTGTTTCTCCCCTGTTCTATCGCTCTTGTGTACCAAGAATGGTTCGGCATAACGGAGCCGTTAGAGACGGCTGGGTTGTTCCCACTCGCCCAGAAAACTTTGACACACTTACCGACGACGAGAAAAAGATTATTGATGCGAATCTCGAAAGCGAAACCTTGCACAAGTTTTACGAGGCCATGGTTCACAAACGAGCGCCTCGTCATTGGGCCGTTCTGGCGCAGATTGATGACATAAAAATAAAGCGAAATCCAACATTGCTTATCACTGGCATGTGGGAAAATCGAAACCTCTTCTACCTTCGACACAGTTTGTATACAGTGGCAACTTTTTGGGAAAGAGTCCAGCCGGATACAAACGTCGAGTGTCCATTGGAATTTACAAAAGAAGAAGGGGAACAACATCTGGAAGAGGATGAGAAGGTGACTGGAGTTGGTGAAATGCTTCGATTGTTTCGAGATGGGAGAACGCTCCCTGAAGATGGCATGGTTGCCCCCGAAGACTATGACGTTGCGACGAAGAACTGCGAAAAGTTCAAAAAGGCATTCTTGGACTTGGCTACTAGCGATGAAGAGCGAGAGCTTTTCTCCAAAATCTGGCCATATCAGGAGCCGGAGCCATGAATCCAACTGCCTCCTCATAAGCAGAAATACCTGGTGCAGGCGCAGGCGCAGAAGATCGCACCGTAGACCAGAAACAACACGCATACCCTGCCTCTTACGAGCAGATCCGGTGGAAGCAACAGCAGGCTCCTGCAACCCCCTATACCTCTTTGTTGAACCTGACAACCCCTGAGATGCCTAAGGCTGTTGCAGTACTGACATGACATTCCACTTCTAACGCCGAATATGTATAATATCTTTTTCAAATACTATCCAAGGCATCTATATCAATACTATTATATATTATATTTATAGACTAAGCAGAAGGAAGTGCTATATAGTAGAGTGTCTGATATTGGCAAGCTTCTAACGCGGAAGCCATATTGCTTACCAATCAATCACGTGATATTTCAGTTAGCTGTTCTTCGCGGCGAGATATCATCATACGTATGTCGAGATAGAGAGGCCTTAACGACGAACTCATACCTTTTGCCCTTCATTGACGCTATTAGAGCTACTTCCATAGCATTTACAGCTCACCACTTGCAATTCAGCTTTCTCCCCATCCCTATCCGTCCCAATGGCACCAAAACGCCGCGATGTAGCCAGCCCAGCAGCTGCTCCCAGCACAGTGAAGCCAGTAACAGCTTCTTCGCCAGTGTCCAAATCAACAACGTCAGCTTCCGCAAATGCCTCTGCGGTAGATATAGTGCTTAAAATATGGGAGAATTATACCTCGACCACGCCTCAGAGGACCCTACTCCTAGATACCTTCATGGCATTCTTAGTTCTTGTTGGCGCCATTCAATTTCTATATTGCATTTTGGCGGGCAACTATGTGAGATTACCCTTTATAACCATTATTCTCTCCTTTCCTGTTAGGAGAGACAATTTCGTCCGAATTCGTGGCTAATTCTCTATTTTATCCGTCATATCTAGCCGTTCAATGCGTTCCTAAGCGGATTCTCTGCCGCAGTTGGGCAGTTCGTCCTAACAGCTAGTTTAAGGATGCAAACCAGTGATATAGGGAAGAGCACAACAGGCGCGAAATCCGGCACTATCAGTGGGGCAGAAACACCGATTCAAGACCGAGGAGAGGGATCTAGTGAGAGGTTCGTATCTACATACCCTCGACTCGCATTATTTTAGACTGGTATAGCACTGCAACATATGTACTGACGAGAGTGATATAGGGCATTCGCGGATTACATATTTGGAAGCATTATATTGCACTTTTTCTGCATTAACTTCATCAATTGAGCGAAGAAAATAAACATTAAATTGTTAGGAACATCGTTACTTTATTTCCGTTCGGATATGAGCGTCATCCTCTAGTGATTGAAATATAGAATGATCCTAGGTGCCGACTAAAAGACCTGTAATGACTTATATGTATAGTATTGCAATATTTCATTTGAATATGGAATGCAAAAACCATTCATCAATTGCATATCTAGATGCATGCAGTAATGACTTCCAAGGGCGACCGAAATGCTCTAATTCTAAACCCCCATATTAATTGAGAAAGCCTCCAACGACTTCTCTTTCTATGTAAGAGCCCTAAAAAAATCTAGGAGTTCAGAATCCTCTTCCAACCCTCTTTGACGGTGGTCTCCTAACCACACTACCGCTAGTGACCGCACCACTTGTGGTCTTCCTTACGACTGACGTAGAAGATGGCTTTCGAACCGCGGCCTGAACTTCCTGCCTCCTTTTAACTGATTCCTTCTCTGCTTCACGGGCTGCAAGTTCGGCGGCCCTGTCACGGTCGGCAGCCATTTGTGTTTCGATTTCCATTTTACGGTTGAATTCGCGTTCTGTGATGCGTCGTTCGCGCGCGGAATAGCCTTTTTCCTTGATTGAATAGAAAACACCACCAAGATCGGCAAGCCACTGGAAAGGATAAGTGTTAATATATAGGGGTACTAAAGCGCGCGAAAAGGATATAAAATGGAAGACTTACATGGGGATCAACGGCAGTGACTGTAGACATGTATTCCTTGCTTGTCAAGATCAATTCATGGTATACGACATAGTCGGGCAAAAAGCCAAGACCGTATAAGGAACTGGTAGGATGTAGTTGAACTGTCACGCTCGTTCGCAAGTTAACGTACTCGCCAATACCCTTGACTCGACCGGCCTGATGATAGTAGCCAGAGCAGATGCACTTTCGGATAATATCCCAATCGGTACCACAGCTCACCAACTGCATCTTTTGCATTTTCATAATATCATTCAACTGTTCGCGAATCTCCTTGGCTCTTCGAAGGGCCTTGGGATGGAGGAAGTGTCGTACACACCATCCATCTGAATATCCATTTGCTTTCCACTGGGTATAGACGTGGAGAAGAGTTAGATGGTCAGATTCAGGAACGAAGAACTTTTCACGCGCTGTGTCGGATTCTTCTTGACGTTCCTTGGGACGGTAGAATACGCTGGGGACAGAAAGCATGGACACTATAGTGAGCATTTCTTCACTACAGCCGTATAGTTCCGATGAGGTGATTAGAAGCTTTGCGAGGGATGGATCCATGGGGAATGCACTCATTCTCCGGCCGATGGCGGTTAAATCGCCCAAGTTATCGACTGCTCCAAGAGCCCAGAGGTCAAAGAGCGAGGTTGTAATGGTGTCTTGTGGTGGTGGATCCATAAAATCGAAATCAAGCAGGTCTTTAACTCCTAGAGATTTAAGCAGGAGAACCGTATTGGCAAGGTTTGTTCGTTGAATTTCTGGGATCGTTTGTATATAGAACTCGTCCTTGAACGCAAGTTCGGTATACAGATGATAAGCCTTTCCGGGCCCAGTTCGACCGGCTCGACCGGCTCGTTGGGATGCATTAGCCTGAGAGATGGGCGTGATTTGGAGAGTGTCCATGCCCATTCGCGGGTTATACACCTTCAATTTAGAATACCCAGCGTCGACCACATACATGATTCCGTCAACAGTTAAACTGGTTTCCGCAATGTTAGTAGCAACGATGACTTTCCTAACGCCTGGAGCAGCCTTGTCGAAGATTTTTGCTTGTAGATCCGCCGGCATCTGACTGTATATTGGTAGCACACTGATCTTTGGAGGATCGTTTAGAAGAGCCAGCCTCTCGTGAATTAGTTCGCAGGTAGCCTCGATATCTTCCTGGCCGGTCATGAAAACAAGGATATCTCCTGCACCTTGTGAGACATGAATAGCAAGCACCTGTTTGACGGCGCTGTCGACGTAATCTTCACATGGAGAACGAGAATATTGTATGTCAACCGGGAATGTACGTCCGGGAATAATAAACTCGGGCGCTCCCCCGTAGAATTTTGAGAATCTGTCTGAGTTCATGGTGGCGGATGTCACAATGAGTTTTAGGTCTCTTCTCCGGGCAAGGACTTTCTTGATCAAGCCCATCAAGACGTCTGTGTTCAGTGCTCTCTCGTGAGCCTCGTCCATGATAATACAAGAGTACTTATCGAGATCAGGCTGTACCAAGGACTCTCGGAGTAGCACTCCGTCAGTCATATCTGAGGGACGCGGTTAGTGGATGGTCATACATAAAATAATAAGCAGGATGGGAACATACATTTAATCACCGTTTCGCTGCTTGTACAATCCTCGAAACGGATAGCGTAACCCACGAGCCCTCCAAGTTTGACCTCCATTTCTTCGCTGACTCGTTTGGCAACACTCATTGCCGCCACACGACGGGGCTGCGTACATCCGATCAAGCCAAGCTGGCCGTACCCATCCTCATGGAGAAACTGGGTCAACTGAGTAGTCTTTCCGGAACCAGTCTGTCCAACCACAATGACAACCTGGTTATCTCTAATCACTCGGAGTAGTTCCTCTCTGACGGCGAACGCAGGGAGATATTCCCTCTGCTCGCGTAGAGTCTTGCTTTTGCTAAACGCACTGGATCCTTCTGACTTTTTCAAATGAGAAGCAAACTTGCTGCCACTGCCGGCCTTTTGGTCTTCCTCTCCAGGAATTGCAGCAGCACTGTCACCCTCATCTTCCTTGACACCCATAATATTTCCCAGCGTAGTTCCGGCCGCATTCGTCGCATCCTGAGCTTGTTTCTGACGCTCTTTCCGCTGTCTTCTTTCCTGAACGACCTTGCTTCCCTTCCGACTAAACACAGCCATATCACTCTGAGGATCTCGTACGGCCGGAACAGGCTCCAGCTGTTTCGTGAAGACCGTACGGCCGTCCAGGAAGGGAGGACGAAGGTCATGAACAAGTAAATGCACTCTTGTCGAGTCGTCATCGTCTTCAAAATCAGCATCGTAGTCCCTCCTCTGAGCAACGCCCGAAGTCAGCATGCGATTCGTCTCCCACGCATCCACGTCCTTTTGCTTCTGTACGGCACGAGCATTGAAACGCCGACTGTTCTTCTTTTCTGACAGTGCTGCCTCGCGCATCTGATCTGCCCATGCAGCTTCCGGTCCGCCAAAGGGATTATGCGTCTCGTCTCCAAACGTATGGCCGGACTCGTCTCCCATGTACCAATCGCGGTCCAGCGCCATAGCATCATCGTCGTTCACGAACGCTTCAGGGCCGTCGAATTCATGCTGGCGAGGCGTCGATGAGCCATTGCGATCTCTGCTGGACCCTGTCTGGCCGTCCTCGTCTCTGGCAGCAGGTCTATCGCGTCGCTTGAATATATGTCTGGGGCCAGGACCGGTAAAGCTCTTGGGCGACGACGGCGTGAACCGATCCGAGTCGATCTTCCGCCGTTTCGGGCTCTCTTTGCGACTCATGGTGACCTCAGTTGGCGTTCATCGTAGAATTATACAAGCGTTGCACAGTTATCAAGTGCATAGACGTGAAGATAGGTAGAGCTAGATGTGGCGGTGCAGGGGCGGTTATGGAAAGCGGATGGGGTGCCCCATCATCACACCGAGGCACTGTGGTAGAGTGGTTAATACGTTGCACTGCTACTGTTATATAATATGTATATATCTGTATACATAGCCATGCAATTCCTTCGGGAGCCAGGGTTCGAATCCCTGCGGTGTCGCTTTTTTGCTCTTTTTACCTCCTTGTTTTTTTTTACCTCTACACCTGGAGAGCACTTTATAGATACATGAGAATATATTTAAAATAATAAATACAGCCTTGGAATATATTTTAACAGTTATACGTGATGTGGTGTGGTGCATCGACGCCAAGGATGGCGAACGTAGTCAGTACTTCCTGAGCTCAGGAGCAACAAAAGCAACAACCTCCATACCAGACAGCTCCGGCAGCTGGCACTGATATACGATCACACAGCTGCTGTTCTATAGATGCAGTGAAGACCTGCCACTGTCGTCGGCGGAGTAAGTCACCATGACAACCAAAGACGGCAAACATACCCCTACAACCGACGAGCTGCTGGCCCAATTCGATGACCTGAATGTCGACACCGTCAACGCCAAACCGGCACAGCCGGGCCAGCCGGGCCAGCAGGGGGGCGTCGAGGATGATGTACTGGACGAGTTTCAGAACCTAGTCTCCCAGAGACCATCGAGCCGGCCTGCAACCCCCCAGATCTCGTCTACGTCGACCAGGTCTCCTAAACTGGCGGCGGCAGCTACACCCACTACTGATAGATCGAGTGAGGAGAAGATACAGACACGGAAGTCGGGAGATAGCACGAGAGCATATCATAGGAGCATCACACCAGCATCGGAGACGGAGAACACACCGCCGAGTCCAGCACCACAGAGCAGCGGAGGTGGGTGGTGGGGTGGTATATTTGCTACCGCCAGTGCAGCAGTCAAGCAGGCTGAGGCGGCAGTTCACGAAATCCGGAATAACGAGGATGCTCAAAAGTGGGCTGAGCAAGTTCGTGGCAATGTCGGTGCTCTCAAGGGGCTCGGTGAGATCTATACCTCTATACACCGCTATCTATAACATGTATAGCTAACAGGATAATATAGGAGGAGAACTACGAACTCTCGCGCTCCCAACAGTTACATCACTCATCCACACTCTAGCACCTCCGATATCATCTCACGAACGTCTCCAAATCCATATCACTCATGATCTCCAAGGATATCCTGCCCTGGACCCGCTAATCTACAATGTCTTCTCCCGTGTTATGGCCCAGGTCGAAGGAGGCGATCTCCTAGTTGTCCAACGCGGGCAAGAAGCCGCCCCCAAGCGCGGAGAGAGCTCTGGCACCAGTCAATACAACTCTGCAGGCTGGAATGACGGTCCCTGGTGGCGATACACCTCTCCGGGAGGAGGTCGTTCCATCTCCGCCATCAAGGGCACCATGGTGGCTACCAAACTCGCCCGAGCAAGTGCCGAGTCATATTCAAACGACTTCTTCGCAGCCCGCGGCGGAATCGAAGAAGCTACTCGCCAAGCCTCCGAGACTCTCTCAGAAACCAACCCAGTCAGGAACAGCGATATCTTCCTCGCCATCCAAGCCATCAGCCAACCCGTATCAGAGGACCTTTTCCAGGCCGGGGCCGGACCTAGCGGAGACACCGATAAATCCGCCAGCGGCGTCGTGGAGGCCAAGGAAGACCCCGAAGACGAAGTTTCATTCGCCGTTTACCTACACGATCCTATCCACGGCATCGCATTCCACACCATCTCTCAGTCTCTACCACAGAAATGGATAGATTGGCTTGATGCTCCTGCTCCTGACGCCTCTTCCGACAAAACTGCAAGCGACGTTCCGCAATCAACTGTCCCCGAGGCCATTGCAGAGATTATCGAGAGTGGAGGTGTCGACCCACGTGAATGGGTGGCTGAGTGGGTTGAGGATTCAATTACTTTGGCCGTGGGCATCGTTGCACAACGATACGTGGCGAGACGAATGGGTGTAGGTGGTGGTGGTGTCAACAAGGGGAAGATGAAGGCCGAGCAAGCAACTGTTGTTGATAGTGGAGCAGGAGAGGCTGCTAGGGCGCTTTAGAAGGTATTTTCGTGGGCTGTGGGTTCATTCATTTGCTTCCCGCCTTTGGCGTTGTTATTGTATATCCATCCCTACTTATGTCCCTTCGGGAGTGTTATGTTTGTTGCTTTATTTTGACGTCATGCTAATCCTACAACGACAATGTGTATTCTGTATTCCTTGCTTAGTAGCTTATATGGGCTAAATTCAATAAGAACGTATATATCAATCGCATTTCCTTCCGCTGCCATCTGTAGGCCGGGGTTGATAATAGTCGTTCAGACGTGTAGTGCCTTTCCATATAGAGCTAACAGGTACGGGCGTCTGGAAAGGTTCTCCAAACTCCTCAGAACCCGCACTCACTTGCCGCTAATCTTCGTAGACCAGTGCCCGCCACCAGTCAGTCCTATCTTATCGCGGAGGCGCAAAGGAGACCCAACCCGTTTTCGTCAACGACAAAGTCAGCACCTGCCCTTCTTTTATCCATCGTGATGCTAGGTTAAGGGCATCTCCTAGCTTATCCTTCTGCCGGCTCGTTTGCTGCCTACCTCAACCCCAGTCCCGCACTATAGTGTCCGTCTCCGCAGGTTCGACTTTGTATTTCGTATCCAAACGCGATCAATCAATCATTTAACAATACCCGCTTCACTTCTTAGCTGCCTTCGCTCCCTCCTTCTCCTTCTTCTTATCTTTCCTCGTTCCCTTCAATAGCTCCAAATGTCCAGCCTTTTCAGCCAGCAATCGCTCCGTCTTTCCAGTCAGGCCTGATGTAAGTTTCTATATCATGTGTGTTAGCTTGACCCCATCCGGCGAAAGGCATTACCACTATAACTGCATGGCCAAGGATAACGCACCTTGAGCATCTTCTGCTGGCTGACGAGCTTCGATTTCTTGGGCGCGATTGTTTTTGCGCCTCGTTTTGGGCCGAGGGCTGTTGGTCTGGAGAAAGTAGGTTAATGAGAGTGCACCATGCAGTGAGCTTGTGGTATAGCTTACTTTTTAGCCGAAGCCGGCTTGGCCTTTTTGAGAGCGCCTTGAGCCATGATTATGTCGTTACTTGGAGTGTTAATTGTTATTACTATGATGGTGGTGGTGGTGGTGGGAGATCAATTCCATAGCTTTTTTGGCGTCTTGAAATTTCCAGCCAATAGGATAATAGAGTAGCTTACTAACATAACACGTGATGATTATAAAAAGCAATTATGGTCCAGTGATTTAAGAGGGCTGACTAAACTATTTAATTTCCTAACTAACGTAATCCACATGCGAGCCGGCCACCCAAGCGAGCCGGCCACCAAATTGATTATATATAGATTAGTCAACTTTTTATATGATAATTAATACTGAAAAAAAAGTATTAAATTAAAAATTAAATAATACTAGGATTAGGATATCTTGTTCTTCTATATCTAAGAATATTATAATTACTATATTGTGGTTAAGCTTATAATTATAGTTATAAGGCTGGTGGTTTGGCTTTAGTAGGCTAATCAATCATATGTTTAGTAGATAAATTAGGGGGGGTAATAAGGCTTTGAGCTTCTTCTCTTATAATATCCCCTAAGTTATTAAATTCTGTGATTAGATCTTGTACGTTTTTGCTTCTCTTTTTTATTTATAGTAAATATATCCTGATATTGTTTCTTTATTATTGTTATAGTAACTATCCTATACTTATAGGCCTTAATAATTTGATTAAAGCCTTCCTTAAATTGTTTAGATGTCACAAGCTGACGGCGCTCCTTGATTACCTAAAGGTGATCAGAGGTTCACACCTGCCGTAAGACAGAAGGTACAAAGGTCTTAGAGAAAGCTTAGGTTAGAAGTAAGTCATTATAGGAGACGGCTTAGTACCAGGGCGAGATAGAATACTATAATAAGACTATCCCTCAGTTCCAAGTGTGGCTTTAGTTAGTGCCTAGGTCAAATGAAGGCTAAAGGTCCTTATAAGTAATAAAGACAAAGTTAACCTACGTTAATAGGCAAAGGGGTATTTAGTAAATATAGTATAAGATAACTAGAATGGTGCTTTATATTAAGTAGTATAGTAAAACTGTAGCTGGTTTGATCACGAGTATAAGACTCTTGATTCTAAGGAAATGAGTGTCTTTATATATATGGTATATCCAGTCCCTTCCTCCTGATTCTTCTCAGGTCCTATTATAGACCTGATGTCCTGGTCCCTTCGTGGACCTTTTATATTTAGTCCTATAGGGACCTGTCCCTGGTCTTGGCATCTAGGACCTGTCCTTATGGTTATATGATGTGTAGTTATTCCGTCCCGGAATCTTGTTGTCCAATAAGTGTATATCCTAGGGCTGCGCCATAGGTAGTCTGTAATATTATCCCCTCCGTTCTTATCAAGTCATCTCAATAAGTATATAAGTAGTAAGTATATTTCCCTCCTTTTTATTAGATAAGTCTTCTTTCTTCCTTTATTATGGCTCTTTATTCCGTCATAAAGAAATCTTCCTATCTTCTCTATAACCGGGCTACCGAGCGTATAATTCTGGCGGCAGCCATCAATCATTCTGGTTCCTTATTGTATTCTTGTTATAATAACTGTTTTTGGTCTCTTCAGCCTTGTGTTGTGATAGATTCCTGTAGTAAATATTATTCCTCTTGCGTTCATAAGGATTGTCCTTGCATTGGCCGTCTTGTGGATAACTCTCCTTGGGCTAAAGAATTAGCCTAGCTTCCTTACCATCTTAGTAATTCCAACATAGATGTTGCTAGCAACATCCAAATGGTTCGTTAGGCCCAGGAAAAGCTTGCTAAGGCTCAAGACAAGCTTTCAGTTATAATAGCTTATAATCTTGAGCTCTATCAGCGTTAGGTTAAGTTGTCTAATAAAGCTACTTCTTTTAATACTACTAGTGAACTCCTCGTTAGTCCTCCGTCCTCTAGTGGCGTTTCTATTGATCAACTTCTTAAAGTGTCTTCTCCTACTTCTAAACCTTCTAGTAAAAGTCTTTAACTAGTCCTAGTGAGTTCTTAAGATATTATACTAGCTTGTAAGTATTTTCTAAAAAGTCATATCCCTTCTATTTAACTAAGTAGTAGGTTTGTCTGCTGATCACTTTCTTATCTAGGATCTTTTCAACTTCATATTCTTTTTCTTGATTTTCTGGTTATATTTCTGGTTTATATAGTTTAGCGTTCTGAGGTGCTTTTTTAATTAATGAAATATGAAATGTTGGGTATATTTACATATGTTTTAGGAGTTAGAGCTTATAATTAAGTTGTTTAATCCTTTCTAAGATCTTAAATGGTCCCAGTTTCTTGTGGTCTAATTTATTGCTTGGTCTTAGTGTTTTAATATTTTATCGGAGTAGAAATACTTTTTCCCCCTTCTTAAAGTCTGGCGCTTCCATATGCTATTAGTTATAGTAGTATTTCATTCTATAGTTTAAGAATTCAAGATCTAACTATAGGTGTTTATAGAGTTCACACATCTATTCTACTAAAACCTCTGCTTTTAAGGCGTGCGTCTTACCTTCTTTTAGTGTTTTTATTATTTCTATTTCTCTCCCGTAGTTTATAAAGAAAGGTATCATGCCTATTAAGATGTTCTTCACTCTATTATAGGCGAGCTGTGCCATTAGTAGTAGTGAAACCCAGTCATTCTATTCATAGTTAATATAGCATCTCAGGTACTATTCCACTATTTGGTTTATTCTTTCACTTTGTCCGTCTGTCTGTGGGTGATATACCGTCAAGGCTTTCTATTTAATCCCCATTCTTTTAGTGAGTATTATCTAGAATTTACACATGAATCTTATATCTCTATCTAATATAATTTTGTCTAGTAATCCTTTATCTATAAAGACATGTTATAATAGGATATATGCTGTCTCCAGTGATGTGGTCTTTTCAATAAATGGTATAAAATAAGTATACTTTGTTAATCTGTCTATGACTATAAGTATTAAGTCGTATTGAATGCCCATTTGTGGCTCTATTGACTTTAGTAGCTTGACTATAAAGTCCATCACTATTGATTTCCATGCTATTTCCTTGTATGGTATAGGCTGTAGGAGTCCATATAGCGCGTGTTATTCTGATTTATTTTGTTGGCAAACTTCACACTTCTGGATATATTATCTAATCTCTCTCTATATACCTAGCCAATAATAGTTCTGCGTTATTTGGTCTATGGTTTTTTTAATTCCAAAATGTTCTGCAACCTTTGCGTTGTGGTTATCTCTTAATATTTATAGTTATACTCCTCTGGGTATATATATTAATCCTTGATATAGAAGTATTCCATTTTCCTTTTTATATTTTTTATCGTTATCCTTAATTTATTTAAATAAGGGATCTTTTATTATTACTTTTTATATTTTATTTATTAGAGTGTCTTCCTCGGTCGTGACCGTTTAAGTAGCTCTCAATACTTACTGATCTAAGATCATACCCTTGGTATCTGGATCTAGATATAATATTACTCTAGATTCTTTTTTCTTTATTATTAAATCTGGTCTTCTGCTCAACGCGTCCGCGAAGGTGTTCTTTATTCCTTTATAATATTGTATCTTAAAGTTGTAGTAGGCTAGTACCTTAGTGTACCATCTTGACTATCAATATGTGAGTTCCTTGATTATTATAAAGTATATCAGATTCTGGTGGTTGCTAATAACTGTGGTCAGATGCCTTGCTCCTTGGAGCTCTTATTTCCATCTCTTAAATATTGCAATAATTGCTAGTAATTCTTTATCATGGATATCATAATTCTGTTCTGTAGGGGTTATGGTTCTTGCGTAGTATATAACTAATCTTAGTTTTCCTATGTTGTCTTTTTATTATAACTATGCTCTAATCGCATAGTCTGATGCATCTATATTAAGATAACTCTCTTTATTTAGGTCAAAGTGTATTTGTATGTCTCCTTGACTAAACTTTTCTTTAAGTTCTTTGAATGCTTGTTCTTTATTGGTTCCCTAAATAAACTCCTTTACCTTCCTAAATAGGTCCGTCAGGGGTTTTACTGTTACTGAGAATTTGTATATATATTGTTAATAATAATTCACTAGTCCATGGATGTTACAGACCACCTGCGGCGCAGCCCCAGGATATACACTCATTGGACAACAAGATTCCGGGACGGAATAACTACACATCACATGACCATAAGGACAGGTCCCAGATGCCAAGACCAGGGACAGGTCCCTATGGGACCAAACATGAAAGGTTGTCACAAGCTGACGGCGCTCCTTGATTACCTAAAGGTGATTAGAGGTTCACACCTACCGTAAGACAGAAGGTACGAAGGTCTTAGGGAAAGCTTAGGTTAGAAGTGAGTCATTATAGAAGACGGCTCAGTACCAGGGTAAGATAGAATACTATAGTAAGACTATCCCTCAGTTCCAAGTGTGGCTTCAGTCAGTGCCTGGGTCGGATAAAGGCTAAAGGTCCTTATGAGCAGTGAAGACAAAGTTAACCTACATTAATGGGCAAAGGGGTATTTAGTGAATATAGTATAAGACAACTGGAATGGTGCTTTGTATTGAGTAGTATGGTAAAACTGTAGCTGGTTTGATCGCGAGTATAAGACTCTTAATCCTGAGGTAATAAACGTCTTTATATACAAGTCCTTGTATATCCTATTCTCCTGAGTCACTTGGTCGCGCTATCGACTCTGTCGACCTAGCAACTTATACTGGCTCTCCCTGCTCCCTCAGTCGCTCTAGTGAGTCGGGCGACTGGGCGAGTGGGACGTGGTTATTCCGTTCCGTCTTGTCCGTTCAATGAGCGTATACTCTGGGGCTGCGCCGCAGGTGGTCTGTAACATCATCCCCTCCTTTCTTATCGAGTCGTCTCGACGAGTGCATAAATATCCGTGAGTGTCCTCCCTTCGTGTTTGGACGCTGAGAGGGAGCAGGCCTTGGCTGCTCAGGCTTCTCTGTCCGATGATCAGGCTTTCCTTCAGCAAGAGGCTCAGGATCTCTTCGCCCTGACTTTCGGTGCCCCTTCCTCCGATGATTATTCTATTGATCAACTTCTTGAGGGCCTTCCTTCTCCTAGTTCTTTACCCGTTGGTAGA